CAACGAATATATCGATATATATATAATCGATAATTCTATTTACTATAAAGTAGTAGAAATTAATAAGAAAGATAAATATTATATAGAAATCTATAACGCTATCGCTAAAAATAAGAATAAGTTTTAAGAAATTACTCTTAGTAAATACTCTATATAAGATAAAATACTTTATTATAAAAATCGTTTATAAATATTTAATAATATATATATCGATATTATTTAAGAGATATATAATTAATTATTCTATAATTATTCCGAGATAATATATATCTATAAACTACTTAAAAGAAAATATTACTAGCGAGATATAAGGGCTATTATAACTATCTACGTTAAGAATTACTATATCTATTAGAGAGCTAAAATATCTTATAATTGAGAGTATAGCTTATTATAATCTCTACTAATTCTATAGAAATAATAATAAAATATATTAATCGACTTCGTTATAGGCTTATTTATATCTAATAACTATAACGCTATTTAAGTAGCGATTAATTAACTTACTAAGAAATATTACTACGTAGTCTATTCTAATATCGATAAAGATATTATCGCTAAAAAGATAATTAACTTACTACTTAAGAAAGTATTTTATTTATATAGTTTATTAATCTTAATAATATTAAATCGAGACTCTTAATTTATAGTTATTATATAAAAATCTTTTTATAAGAAATTAGATATTATAGTTAAGCTATTAATAGCCTTTTACTCTAAAACTAATAAATAAATTAAATAAGCGAATTAGAATATAAAGCGTTATCTTTAAATATATTATAACTATATATAGAATAACTAGATAAGATAGCTATCTATTATCGAGTTCGTTAATAATAATATTATCTTATTAATTACTAATATTTTATCTTTTCTTATAAATAAGAAATTTTATTCTCGAATAACTTTTAACTTAAATATTATTAACTATAAGATTATATATAAATATCTTAATACTACTTAAGCGAAGAATATTATAAATTATATAAAATAAGTTTTTAAGTATATTCGAAGTAATATAAATCGCGCTTAGAAGATCATAATTATATAAGTTAATAAGTATTAATAAAAGGTTACTTTTTAAATAGACGATAAGATCTTTCTAAATAGTAAGAATATTATCTTCGATCGCTCTTTTCGTAAATTAAATTATAAGAAACTTAATTTATTCGAGATTATAAGTCTTATAAGAATCTTATATTATCTAAAACTTTCATTAAGTATAAAAATCTACGATATCTTTTATCTTAATCTCTTAAGTCTCGCGATAAATAACCTTTTATTAAGATAAATAAACTCTTCGCTAAAGTATATTACTATTAATAATTAAATCGAATAGATTATTAAAGAAATACTTAACTTTAAATTAATTTATAGCTATCTCAAATATAAAGTTAAATAGAAAAGTCTTAATAATAATTCTAATTAATATAATGCGGATAGCGATAAATTCGAAAATTACTAAGATCTAGTGAATAACTTTTATAAGCGATATCCCGAAAAGCCTTATCTATAAAGAAATTAAGGCGAGAAACCTTTAATAGCGATAGCGTCCTCAGATCGAAACTACCTCGGACACCCCGTTTTCAATCGAATTAAAATCGTCCGATATCTTTATAATAGCCTTATTTTTTCTAAAATTAAAAATCGATCCCTTAGACCTATTTTAATCAGGAATTATCTTATATATAGCCTTCCGCGTAGGCCCCCGTTACTAATATAATTCTAAAGACCTTTCGAAGTTATATTAATATATATATAAATCACGTTATCGCTATTATAAAATATAATTAATATCAGCTAAATAATATACTATAGAGAAGACTATATTAAAATCACTTAATATTAAATTAGAGTTTTTAATATTTATAACTCGATTCGATTTAGAAGCTCTTAATTAATTACGTCGTATTATTCTATAGATATCTTATCCGCTTAGACATAGATTCGAAAATTATTATTATTTACCCCTATGCCCATAGATATGATTTTCGCTATATTATATCGATTTTCTCTTAACTAGACTTTCTATATGCGTATATACTCTAACTAGCGATATCGCTATAGCGTAAATATAAAAAGCTGTTATCGTCTTTAATACCTCTCACGGAGAAAGGTATAATACTAAGATTCTCGAATATAATTATTTCTTTACTACTTTTTTTTTTAGATATTAAGCGTATATATATATTTATTTTTCTATCTTTTCACTTACTAATTATGGGATATAATTTAATAAAGAGAGAGAGTAGTATTATAAGCGTATTCTTAATATACCCCTTAGCCCTATAGCTAGCGGGCCTTGGCGAAGGCATCCTCTATTATATTATATCTTCTTTCCACTTACATAGTTCGATATCTTAATTATCTTATTTAATATACCTATATTAATATTGCATCTATATCGATTCTAACAATATCTACTTATACTTAATAAGTATTATTTATATCTATTTAAATATAATTTAAAAATAAGCGAATAGAATAATAAGATTTTATTAGATAATTATTAAAATAGTAAGAAGAAATTAGAAAAGTAGAAAATTTATTTATAACGTCTTTAAAAACTACTTTCACACTCGCTTATACTTAGTAAGCATTTTTCATACTTATTTAAATATAATTTGAAAATAAGCGGATAGAATAATGAGATTTTATTAGATAATCGTTGAAATAGTAAGAAGAAATTAGTAAAGAAATTCATTTATAACGTCTTTAAAAATTACTTTCACACCCGCCCATGCTTAGTAAGCATTTTTTATACTTATTTAAATATAATTTGAAAATGAGCGGATAGAGTAATAAGGTTTTATTAGATAGTTATTAAAATAGTAAGAAGAAATTAAGAAATTAGAAAATTAATATCTAACGTCTTAAAAATGGCCCCTATACCCGCTCATGCTTAGTAAGCATTTTTCATATCTATTTAAATATAATTTGAAAATAAGCGGATAGAATAATGAGAATTCATTAGATAGTTATTAAAATAGTAAGAAGAAATTAAGAAATTAGAAAATTTATTTCTAACGTCTTAAAAATGACTCTTATACCCGCTCATGCTTAGTAAGCATTTTTTATACTTATTTAAATATAATTTGAAAATAAGCGAATAGAATAATAAGAATTTATTAGATAGTTATTAAAATAGTAAGAAGAAATTAAGAAATTAGAAAATTTATTTCTAACGTCTTAAAAATTACTTCTATACCCGCTCATGCTTAGTAAGCATTTTTTATACTTATTTAAATATAATTTGAAAATAGGCGAGTAGAATAATAAGAATTTATTAGATAGTTATTAAAATAGTAAGAAGAAATTAAGAAATTAGAAAATTCATTTCTAACGTCTTAAAAATGGCCCCTATACCCGCTCATGCTTAGTAAGCATTTTTCATATCTATTTAAATATAATTTGAAAATGAGTAGATAGAATAATGAGAATTCATTAGATAGTTATTAAAATAGTAAGAAGAAATTAGTAAATTAGTAAATTTATTTCTAACGTCTTAAAAATAACTTCTATACCCGCTTATGCTTAGTAAGCATTTTTCATATCTATTTAAATATAATTTGAAAATGAGCGGGTAGAATAATGAGAATTCATTAGATAGTTATTAAAATAGTAAGAAGAAATTAAGAAATTAAGAAATTAATATCTAACGTCTTAAAAATAATTTCTATACCCGCTTATGCTTAGTAAGCATTTTTTATATTAGTTAAAGTATAATATGAAAATGAGCGAATAGAATAATAAGATTTTATTAGATAATCGTTAAAATAGTAAGAATTAATTAAGAAATTACGAAATTAAGAAATAACGTCTTTAAAAACTACTTTCACACCCGCCCATGCTTAGTAAGCATTTTTTATATTTATTTCAATATAATTTGAAAATAGGCGGATAGAATAAAAAGGTTTTATTAGATAATCGTTGAAATAGTAAGAATTAATAAAGAAATTAAGAAATTAAGAAATAACGTCTTTAAATCAAAGGCGAATGAGGTCACCCCAGTCCCCTTCTTGATGGCACTCAAGTCCCTCGGCAAAACCTAGTGGACATTCAATCCATTACACGGAAGATTGGGATCATGTTAATGCCTTGGTACGTGGAACGAGGCGTCCATGTTACGTTTCTTGCGCAAGCCCTCGAGCCTTGGGTTAATGCTAGCTGTTTTCCTTCTGTACTTCCCGTCTTACACCATTGCCTGCTGTACAATAGTGTAACACAAGCATCCTTGACCACCACGAAGGGCACTATCGTTTCTTTCTCTTTCAGAGCGCAGGAGTAAAGAGAGAGAAGACAGGATTTACACTTCCACATCCGCTCGAAAGCATCGAAGATGACGGAGAGAGCGGTATGTAACGACAATGGAAGCCGTTTCAAGAAGAACTACTCGGCTCGTCTGAACACAATAGGAGTAAAGCAATAGTTTAGTCCAATACGCCATCCCTCGTCTGTAGGACCCGCAAAAGGTTACAACATACGTCCAACTGATCCTCAACATATTCAGAGCACTTCTCCAACACCATCCAAACCTGAGTCTCGAATGGAACCCGAATTCAAGAGTGGCATTCGACGTATCAAGCTACAGTTGAAGCAGGCATTTAGAACGACATATCAGGCAATCTCAGTGGCAGCTTCAACCGCTCTGGACAGCAGACGGTCCACCGATAAAACTAATAATAACTTCGTGAAGCATTCCAAAGAAACGCTTGCGGCCCAGTCTCTCCGGATAGCGCTAGCAAAGCAAGCGGATACTTTACGAAAGCCAGTGCCACCACGCAATCCCCAATTCCAACGTTTCGAGAGCGGAGAGCGAGCGTAGACGAACAACGCTCAGCGATCTTAGTCTCGCCGCCGATGCAAAGCGTTAGAAAGATACGAGTATGACGAGGGAAAAGGAAAAGAAAACAGCGAGGCAAAGATTAAACTGCAGCAGCAAGCAGTGAAGAAGCCGCAGCCCGCAGTTGAGAAGGCAGCAATTGAGACGCTGCCAGCAGATGAGACTCAGCCAGCATGTGAGAAGCAGTCAGCAAGCGATCCGGAGCAGTCCGGAGCAGCCAGCGAGTCAGGACCAGGAGCTGACCGCCCCGAAGCTACAGCCAACCGCGTCGTCGGACAAAGACAACGGTAAAAAGCGAAAGTCCGTTGCGAAGGCGGCCGAAGCTACTGCTTCCAAAAAAAAGCCTCGCACAAGAAAAGCAACCACTACAGACTCGACCGAGAGAGTCGATGAGAGTGATGAACGGAGCGCGCCCGAACCGAAGAAGCAACGAGGTCGTGCGAAGCCTCCTACCGACGCCGAAAAGAAGCAGCCACGTCGACGAAAGCAGCCGGATATTCCAACCCCCACCAGAAGCAACGCCGTTCATCTCTGCTCATCTCAGATCGAGGAGATCGCCCACGAAGCATTCGATTGCTACAATCGTCAGCTGGTTCTCATAGAGAGGAGAAGTGGGGTGAGGCGTACAAACCCTACCCGGACGCGAAGGAGGGAGAACAGCCAGACATGGCGGTGGCTAGAAAGGAGAACCGAGGTGGGTCAGAGGCGGAGGAGTGGGTTCCCCGTGTGCGGCCATGCTCGCATAGAATGAATTGGGGGGCTATATCGGATGGTCGGACCGGAAGCACAGACCGCGGATGAAGTTTGGCGGCTTCGACGATGGAACGGTCGAGCATCGGAAAGACGCGGGCCAGCAAGCTGCTCAATCGGCGATGTCAAAGCGGATCGAACGCTCGCGCGGGAGTCGTCGAGATGAGGCTCGCCGTCGAACCAGACCAGAATTCGGTGCGCTCCGCGCCTACACCACTTTCTTTCTCAGACCCAGTAATCGACAAGAAAGTCCTCATTGCTAGCAGCAGCCTGTCCAGCTCGACAGAGTGGGATTCATTTCACTTACATCCATACACGCACAGACTCACACTCCGCCTCCCCATCCTCCATGTTTACTCTCACACTCTTCTTCTCCCCCGGACCGATCTCTTTCCCCAAATCTACTACAATCGTCACCTCTCGCATTCTGAGCCGCACTCACGGCTCATCCTCCTCCTCGCAACGCCGCCCGAACCCGAGTCTCAACAACCGCCCGACCCAGCACATCATAATGCAGCTATCGACGTAATTCTCGACTCTATGAAGCTTTCTCACGTACGTTCGCGAAAGAGGAGGAGAGACGTCCCCTCCTCCACCCAAGATTGGTGACGAAGTAGTACATTCAGCTGCAACCCATGTCATGTCAGTCGTCCGACCGTGCCGGGCGTCTGCGTTTGCGGAGCGCTTGAAACTTCGATGCTGGGCACGTGGTACAGAACGAGTTCCTGGACAAGATGGCGCAGATGACAAGGGCAGAGAGAGCGTTGGGTGGTCTTCGAAGAATATTCGCGGGATTCAACCAGGCGATAGAGGAAGATGTGTAAGACATAATCGCAAGGGAGAGAATCAATAGAGATTTGGAAACAGCGTTGGCAATATGTAGCACATATATACAGGAAATGAATATCATTATGTGCGAACAAGTTAGTTAGATCGTACCTTGCCCCCACTTTCCAATGCCTCACATCTGTACAATATATGCCTTCTGCCCGAACATGACTCCCATTGTCCCCACAGTACTATGCGATGCGCGTCCCATGATGTGCACTCAAAACGGCGCCTTCCATTTCGGCCCTCCCAGCCGACTAGCCCTATGCAATTTTCGCGCCTGTACCTCTCGACTGTCCACCATCTCAGCATTCGGTGGGGATTTTACCCAGCCAACATCAGCAGGCTCTGTAGCTCTTCGCTTGACATCTTGCTTGTAGGTCTCTGCCATGGCTCTGTTCTGAAGCTCGACTGCGGTCTTCCCCCTAGCTTCTGCTTGTTCCTTGGTTCTATGGTGGACGTCGGTAGCAGCCTTTTGTCGAGGCTGAAGGCTCTTCTTTCTCTGAGTCTTTAGTCGTGTCTTCGCAACCTTGATGGCTTCAGCGTCGAAGTCGGCGGCAGCGGTTAGGCGCTTTTGGGCGTCGATCTTGGGTTTCTGTTGTATCCGCCCAAAATCGCTCTCGCTGGTAGTCCGTCTCTGGTTCTCAGGTCTGGGCTTGGGTTGGATCATGATGCTGTCCATATCGCTCATGATACGCTCGATGCGACTCACTTCCGCTGACGCCCGCGATGTGCGTCTCTTAGGCACTATGGGCTTGTTCCAGCTCCAATCTCGTTCCATTAGGACAGCACTGGCGGGACTATCGTCTTGACCCGGTGTCAACGTGCGATCATCGCCTTGGTCATAGCTCGGCGCTCTTGAGGAACTCCTCGCGGGCAATGGCGGGATGATCTCAGGCTGAGTGGTTGCACTTTGGACGATACTTTGAGGACGAGATTTTGGCTTGGTTGCCAAGGGTGGGATGATAATAGCCGCGCGAGCGGCAGCTACGGATCCTTTCTGAGAGTCCTGCTTTGAAGGCACAGGTGGCGGATTTAGAATGCACGCTTGCTCTATGACTTGGTTGGCAGTCGTTGGTTGAAAGCAACTGCCAATATTTGAGTCGCTGTAGATCTGCTCGGAAAGCTCCGTAAAGTCAACAAAGAGCTTCAACACGTTGGCTGTGGGGCGGTCGACACCAGCTTCTCGTAGGCTATCCAGGCATAGCTTCAGACTTCGGCGCTCATGACGCAGGAGTCGAGTCAGTTGCAACGATTGCTCTGAAGTAGCTGAAGTGGACTGAAAAGGCAGCGAGGATGACCGTCCAGGGAATTTGCCGGCATTTGGCGAACTACTTGACGCAGAAGAGACGCTTGAGACTGGAGAAATTGGAGAGAAGCCTTCTTCGTCATAGTATGACGAGGCCATCGATGCAGAGGAGACGGATCGGTCAAATGAGCGTCGACTGCTGCCAAAGCTCGCACTTCGTGATTTGGCTTGAGTTCGTGGAGCGGCGGCCTGCTGTTCTTCAGCATTGCTGGACATGAAGCTGATTATCGACAAATGCCGTATCAGGTCTGCAGCCAGAAATTGTTGCTCCGGGGTTTCCAAGAAGTCCTTCCTGAGCCCGACACCACCACTGTGACCTTGATTGCCCACAATACATGTAAGAAATGCCGAATTGTATGGGTGAGCTGTCTGGTCTGTAGGTGCTTTGGCGGGCTGTACACCTTCTGTGTGGCCACGATTAGACAGCTGACTGACGCGACTGAGGAGGAATGACTGTAATTCGCATATGAGTTGTGCTTGGTCATGTGTGCTGGCCATGAGCACATAAGGGTGATTGAGGATGTGTGAAATGAACCGGTATAAAACAGAGCGTACGTCTGATATCGTGGTTGCAGTCGACGATCTGGAAGTCTCATTGTGATCCCCGCAGAAGCACTGGTCTTTGCTGTACAATTCAAGCTCCTGAAAGATACTCTGAATGATGTCTTCAATCTCGAACATGCACCCAGCGAAAACCTCACCCACTACATTCTCCATGTATCCCTCGAATTGCCGATTGAGCACCGATAGGATCATCATCTGGTAAAGGTACTCGGCACCAATAAGTCTTTTCTCGACGCTGTTTGCCACAATCCACATGAAAGGTATATAACCGAAGTGCTGGTCTTCTGCTAAATTGTCGCTTGGAAAGACGGCGTATCGCACGTCCCTGATCTGCGGTAGGAACAGATGGCCTTCTATCAGGGAAGCTTGGATCAGCCACTCGGGGGTGTCCGCAAACCAGGCTTGGCGGCCGTAGTACTTCGTCTGAATAGTGACTTTCGCCAAAGGGATCTCGAAATGGCTCTCAATGGTGGGACCTGATTGCTGCTTTGGGATTGGGGCTTGTAGAGCAGCCAAGATGTACGCTTGGTGAAGGGTGCTGGATCCAGAGGTCGTCTTCCCCGTCCATACGAGCTCAGGCTCGGAGAAGGGTAGGTAGTTCTGATGATGGTTTCGCAGTCAGCATGCTTTTCTTGAGAGATGAATTTGGCTGCTAAGGCAAGCCTGGGGAGCACGATTGGGGTAAGAAGCCCATCTCATGACATGCAATGGACTTGTAAGACCAGTTTCAGAACATAGTTGGGGTGGGGAATCTATTCCCCCTGCCAGAACATGACTCATGGCCCATACTAACGTTCCAAATAGGAGGAGATCAAACTGAAATGACGAACCTTGGAAAGGTATTCGCGACCGTTCTTGACGGCTAAGATAGTCTGCATCCTGACTCTCGGCGCTGAGGAAAGCGAGGCAAGCTTGGTCAGTGTAATTACTGCGTAGGCGGTGGTCTCGCAGCGCGGGCCGCTTCCCCAAGAGCCGTCCATGTTTTGGCTCTGAAGAGTCCTTGTGAGAGCCTGGAAAAGCGAGATAACGACCTTGTCCCTTATCGATGGCTCGTCTGGGACTGGAATGAAACCTTGCTCCCAAATTCGGATCAGGCGCATGAATGCCTTGGCCATCAGCATAATTGGGTAATTCGGCGACGTATTCTGTTGGCAACGATTAGCTGCCTGTATGTTACTCGAGGTCTTCCCAACTCACGGATTGATCTTCGATCTGACCATTGGTAGTCCACCACATGCTGCAGATGAACCTGATGCACTTCTCAATCTGGGGAACCTGCTGGTTGTTGCCCGGTAGTAGATCCAGCAAAGACTGGAGAACATGACAGTTCGTTCTGAAGCTCGGGTTCCTGTCTAGGTCGTACGTCTTGAAGCTTTCGCGTGTTTCATATCGAATGATTAAGCCTTGCGGAGAAACAGTTCGACCAAGTAAGCAGAGAGCGGAGATGGCCTGCGCCGTGTTGTCTGCGTCTGACTCGACGTATGGTGCAAAGCCGGTGACGCCTGACTCCAGCTGCAAGCAGTCGTGCAAAAATCCAGCAGCGTTGTCCAATGCCTGAGTTCCCAGACCCTGTGGGGTGAATCCATTCTCTAATAACGTTGAAAGGACACGGGTGACTTCGAAGACGGTGGTAGGGAACTTTGAGGGGACCCCGCCGGCAGAATTGTTGTCACCAATGGACACGATGTGGTGCAGATAGGCTTCAGCTTCATCATCCCAGCTCGTGCGACCCATTAAATAAGCTGCTGTGGCAGCTGGCGAGGCCATCATTGAGCCACAGATTTTGTGCTGACCTACGCGATCGAAGTCGACCTCGCCAATTCGGCTTTCCAGATTGTGAGCGGCCGATGTCCTGATGTTCGTGTAGAGCGCAACGAGACTTTGGTTTGGCGTCTTCCTTCCTCGCTCATGAATAAGCGCCTCCTTTCCCGGGAATGAGAAGTGAACGCCCTCCTGCTCCAGCATTTGCAGAAGCCTGGAGAAGAAGGGCTGCAAGGTGACGGTGATAGTTGATTCGACGTCGCACTTCGAAAACTTGGTCTCCAGAAAGTAGATCGCCCGGTCCTTCTTATGTCTCAGATCTTCGGGCGGTTTCAGCTGGAGTGGATAGCCAATATGCCTGCAAAAAGCCAACAAAGCGGCCAACGTATTTAGGATGCCGTCGGCGTCGGAAGAAGATGTTTGCCATCCACCATCGTGCTGTTGATTGCTGAGGAGGTGCTCGAAGCTGGAAGGGAACAGCCATCGTCTTTGCCCGTCGACGTTTTTGATGACCATAGCAACCCATGCTGTATCGTAGACAGAGCAGGTCAACGACCCAACTCCATACTTTGGGTCATGATCATTGATGAGCTGACCAACTAGTGTGCTCGCCCTGGCGGCATAATCGGCGCCCTCGTGAAGATACATGTTAGCCGCTGCTGGGTCAATTTGTTGCGCAGCAGTAGGTATGGTGAAAATGTTGGCGCATTGCGTTTAGGGAGTCTTGACGGAATCTCAAGGAGGATCAGTGTAGATATAGGCTGCTTCGAACAACCACTTCCCCCTGTGTGACAAGGCCATGCTATCTAAAGGAGAATCAGCCTCCGTGTGACTCTTGGATAGGCAGTCGGTCAGGCCCGAGGCGCAAAGCGAGACAAGTATCCTGAGCCTCTCACATCTAATCAGTCGGCAAGATGTGAGTATGAGCTAGGATAGTTACTCAAAGGGTCAGGTGGATTGTGGCAAAGAGATGACCTTCTCCGCAGTCGCCCCAGTCGTTGTCGCAGCTGGCAGTTGGCTGGAGAGCAATTGCCTGATGGGGCAGTTCGGGGCACGGATGATCGACGTTGGGGCCCGCTAGCGCGCAGCCGAGGCAGGTCGCCTCCGTAACATCCACCAATCGTCCCCTCCTCCCCTCCAAACTTGCCAATCGTCTGTCTCCTTCTCTTTTCAAGATGCGCCGGCAAGATCGACAATCAGTATCCATGCTATGCTTTACTTTGCGCTTGGCTCGAGCTCAGAGTCCAGAAGGCGACCCCGCAGAGTCGTATGTGCTGTCAAAATGCCACCTCTGAAGCATAAAGGCGAAGCTTGAAGAAGTCACAAGACTTGCTGGCATGCATAAACGTGCCTCCTCCTTCAGTCCGGCCCAAATGATCATAAGGCATGGACACTGGAGACGGTGTCGCGATGAAGTTGCCAACCCATTAACAAGGCAGCCTTGACCATAGACTAGAGTAAGCCGAAGGGGATATGCCAAGAAGTCTCCTAATGTGGAATCTGATGCGTTCCGTTGTGATAGATATTGGATGTCCTGCTATGACTGCTATAAAAGTTGGAACGAAGATGGTACGCTAGCCATGCAGCAACCCTGATTGTGTGCATATGACTTCCCAATCCTCATCCCCTTCAAGATCCAAGAACAATTTTAACATCGTAAAAGCTTCTCTTCTGCGCGCAAACAACGCGCTATAAGAATCCTGTCTTCTGAATCACACTTCAACTATTCGCCCTCCTTCTCTCCCATCTCGGTTCCTGATCCCAAGGCTGCCTCATCTTCACCAACGTCCTACTATCCTTCCTCCCATGCCCATCTAACCTCCCATAGTCCACCGCCTTTGCAATCCTTGCCCCTTTCCTCAAATTCTCGTAGTACGTCTTCTCCGCCACCCGCATCGTATTTCCCTTGTTCATATTCGGCCTTAGTACCGCTTTCTCGGGTGAAGCAGGGAGCAGTGGGTAATGGCACAGGCTCGGGTCTCTTTTCGCTGCGCCTTCGGAGTGTGCCCTTTCCCGCGTTTCAGGGGGCATTTCGGGCAAAACCGTTTGAGAGCGCTCTTCGAGGTCGTTCTGTTTTTGTTGCGCGGCTCTGGCGTACATCCAGAAGTCTGCCGGCGGCATGGCAGGTCGTGAGCCTGGTCGCGGTGGACTCCCACCGTTCCGTAGGCTGTGGCTCTTGTGACGGTACTTCTCTGGTATGGCTGGGACACTGGGTCTGGACGAGGTCGAGCTCTTGATCGTGCTGCTGCGGGAATTACTACTGAAGGAACTTAGAGTACTGGGGAAAGAGCTGAGCGTGCTAGGCCCGCGAGACAGCGTCGATGCAGACGTTGAGCGGCTGTAGACCGACGAGGATGACGTCGCAGTCGTTTCACTGCGCTCCAAAGAAGAGAGAGCGGCCGTTTGAGCAATCTGAGGCAAAGGAAGATGGTTGATAGATGCAGCAGAGAGGTTTGCCTGGGACCTTGTTGGGGTTTGCTGATCAGGTGTCCTTTGAAGAGCTGGATGCCCAGTCTCTGCTGGGACCTGAAACTTCAGAGGTGGGAGCCATGAGATTCGACCTCGTGGAGGGGGTTTAGGCCTCTTAGGTGGACAAGGATATAAAGCAGGGTCGCATATAGGCACATCAAGGTACTTTTCGCTTGGATTATTCAAGGGTGTAAAGCTCAGTTCTGTCGAGCTGAGTTCTGTGGATAGATGCAGTTCTTCTTCCTCGTTGTGGTTTCGAATATGTACGCCTAGTAAAGAGGAAGCGAATGGTCGTTCTGCAGTCTTGAGCGTGTATACGATCATACATGATGTGATACTGATATGCGAGTCAGTATTGGCCAGGTCACCACGACTGATTGGACAATCTCACAGGGCTAAGAGTGACCCAGCGACACTCAAGCGTTGAATCATGCACCCATCAATCCCTACACCTTCCAAAGCTTCGCTTCCATTGGCTGCACAGAACGGTGCCTTGGATGCTGTTACTAACCCTGGAACAGCTGCTGCCACCCAAAACAAGACCATCGCCCTAGATATCATCAAGCACGCGGAGCTTAGGATGTTCTTCTGGTGACGATAAGGAAATGAGCCACTTTTGGAGTAGCGCCAAGAGACGATCTGATGGAGCAGCAGATACGTGACGGACAGAGCCGCCTAGTCGACAAGACTTCAGCGTTGACAGCTTGTAGAGCGCGAAGATGGTACTCACTGCAGTCAGCATAGGGCTGGCGCCCGCGATGGTCACTTCGTTACCAGGACCGATTATAAGGTAGATAGCACCGGCGCTGTTAACTCCAGAAAACACGAGCAAGCCATACTGAAATGCAACGAGAGTCCTCTGGGACTTCCGACTCGCCACCCGCTGGGGACATCCTGGGCTTTGCCACGAAAGCATATGAGTGGCGGACATCTAATCATCCAATGCTTGAACAGGCCATCCAATATCTAGAGCAGCTTCTGGTCGGCAGCACCTCCGTACAGGATCTTTAGACGTACAAAAGGGATGGGTAAAGTCGCACGCTCGGTAATCTTATATAGAGTTGCATTGAGAAGGGAGCGGATGGCTGGTGACGACGAGGGAGCCTCCCAAAGGCCGCACTATGGCATAACATCAGAAGATACACAGCTGAAACACGTCGGAATGTGTCGGGCTTGTCGTCGAATAGGAGATTCGGTCGACATTCCAGACGTCCCAAAATGGTGAAGCGTTGAAGTTTGCGATCACCCAGCAACATCATAAACGTTACGACGCTTCCTCGACCTCGTGAACCTGGGCTCCTCGGGTTCGTCTTCAGTTAAGTCCTTTCTCTTTCCACGAGATGTCTTTTTCGCCGTGGTTTCTGATGGAGATTTGATTTGTGCATCGACATTAGTCCGGGGCCCCGCATGTCCGAGGGACCAGCCACTCCATTGAGCCGTCTCCTCATCAGCGTTCCAAAGAATCCTGCCTTCTCTGAGACTAACATCGGAGGCTTTGAGCCACATCGCCACAACGCCCCCAGTCTTCCTCCCAACCTCCCGGGTCCCAGCTTTGGGCTTCACATTCATTCCATGATCTGCATTTTGGACGACCACCCTCCAAGTCATACACTTCATCTTGTTCCGAACTTCTTCGAGTCTTTCAAGATCGCACATCTCGTCGCGATCCCCACTGACGAAGATGACCTTCACAGACGCTGGCAAATCGAGCAACACTTGGTCTCGAGTTTCTTTGGTAGTATGCAGCGGATAGCTGACAAGTACTAGATGGGTTGCATTTTCCGTAGCAGCCATGACTGCAGCTCGGGCACCCATACTGCGCCCTCCTAGACAAGATGGGGTTTTGACGTTCAAGTTGGAGGCAATGATGTCGCTGAACATCTTGACTCTGGACTTCAAATTCATGTTGCCCTGGAAGCAAAGAATGCTCGATTGCCGAGAATGCGATGCAAAGCCATGAGTGAAATTAGCAATTGCATCGGATTGCAAGGTGCCACCTGCACCATGCGTGAACACAAGAGCCGCGTCCGTGCGAGCAAGATCGCCAGCATTTTTTGTAGTATACATGCAATTTATTGGGGGTTTAGGAGGAAATGGGACTTGCAAAGAACGTTGCGCAAGAGTTTCTGCCTGGCCTTCCTCCGACATCTTGGTGGATCTGTTCAAGCTTCGCAACATGCCATTAAACTACGCACCAAACTAAAAAGAAGAAATTTTTGCCTCAGGAGCAGCTTGTAGTTATTAGCTTCCAAAGACCATTCTGAAGGACTGGATCATGAAAGCAGTGGGCGCCCCAGCGCGTACTCGTAATCTTATGTTCGCTCGGCTTCGGCAAAACTTCGGGCCGAGGGTGCATGGAGCATCTTCGCCTTCATCTTGCGGTGGTTTCCTGCCCATTGAAACGGTCATGACGCTTCAGCAAGGTCGACCTCGAACAAAAGGCGCCTCTCACTTCGAGCCTGATATTATATTCGAATCATGGAACAAAGGTGAGAAGTATTTGCCGGAGGATGACGACCTGAGGTCCTCCATCATCGCTACATTCAATCTGCCCTACAATGACAGCTATGTCTACCACGCTACAGCCAGCGTAACCCTCTCGCAAGTACAAGAGGCCATCAATCACGGTGGAAAAGCTGGTTTACACGCGTGGTATATGGATGACGAAGGGAAGCCAGTAAGGCGTTCCCATCAATACCGCGAGTGCCTCGGTGGCTTGACGATCTGATTAAGGACTCTTCGTCTACACCTTAGCTAGCGCCTCCTCCTTCAGCAGATGTCTCAGCTTATACATCCATCTTCGCCCCAAATACGGCCACAATGAAGCTCCTCACCGGCTTCGCAGCCAATGCAAAGAAGGGTTCGATACGCTCGAAAGTCGCTTTACATCTACAATCCCTGCGGGTACTGCCCCCAAATATGACAATACCAAAATCGAAAAACCACATAAACCCCTACTACGACTTCTGGAGCTGGTCTTGCCAAAATTTGGAATGGGTAGGACCCGAAGGTGGGACCGAGAATATAATGACAAGCCACCACATTCTCCCGATCTTCATGCATCATTTCGGGTGTGTGGTACCCAGCTATGAGAGCCTGGAAGTCATCAAACAACTAGCGGGTCAGCGAGCGGTGGTAGAGATCGGAAGTGGCAATGGCTACTGGACCTACATGCTGCGGCGGATGAGCGTCAATGTGCACGCGGTGGACAATCTGCAGAGCGAATATCGGACACTGTGGATAGGTGATACGTTGATCAAAGACGGCGAGAAATACTTGAAAGATGAGAAAGGTTGCAAAGACGCTGTAATACTTCTAGTGTATCCGATTGTCAGCTCGGACTTCACTTCTAGAGTCCTCGATGCCTACAAAGGAGACACGGTATGTGTTGCAGGGACACAAAACCGAAGTGGGTACACAGCATTCAAGGACAGGACGATTGATGAGCATATGAAAGTGGAGAAAGCGGACTATGAGAAGATCATGCAAATCCCTCTCCCCTCGTTTCCTGGCAAGGATGAGGCACTCTATATATTTGAGCGCCAGAAACCCTAGGGAAGTTGACCTGTACAGCATGCCTTCCATAATGATATGTTGCAGTCCATTTTGTAGCTCAAGCTTTCCATAATCTCTGTTGTCTTGCTAGTCAAGATGCGCCGAGAAGAAAGCTGGAGCAAGAGATTGACCACTGTATGGTTTTCGTTGGCCATCTGCTGGTTCTACAGTTCAAGACCTCCTGGAGCCACATTGGACTGAAGATCAGGCTACAATCCCCACGCATCAGCACCCGCAATCCACCACAGGAGCCCAGGCAGTAAAACCTAAACGACTGCAAGTAAGGGCACGGTCAAATCGCTATGCTCCACGACCTTGATCGTTAAAGGCCCGCCAGGTACCCTGCCGCTGATTCACAATTCTCCTGACGCATACCGCCTTCGCAATTCATCCCATCTATATTCCCAGATGGGATCCTTAAGCCTATATGCGTCCGTAGGTGCTAGATGCTTCAGGAAATCCTGAGGTGACACCATCGGGTAGGCCGGATCCTCACCGGGCAAATAAACGTGAGGAGGACCTAGAATCCATGGGAGGAATTCTGGAGTAGGCTGCATTGGCACGAATCCATTGACTGGTATAGGTCCCTCCATGTCGGTTGCCCGGCGGAAGAGGGAATTGCGCAGGAGAGAGTTTTCCCAGATGTTCCGCACCAGGCGCTGGAAGATGATTGGATGTACCTTTTTATAAAGGTTACCTTGCCTAGCTAGGCTAACGACTCCGTTGAGTCGAGACAAGTTGCTCGAACCATGCTCGGTTTCCTCGTGATGAAATAGTTTTCGGTGATCAGGGGTGGCGAAGTCGCAGTAGGGACATTTCCTTTGGAGTATCATGCTGTGGAGAATGCTGTGCTCGGCTTTGATTTGAAGGGTAATCGGAGCATCATCTTCATTAATCCAGTGGAGCCCCAATCTGTGGATGGTGTTGCGGGTGAATAGCATGCCACAGTCGCGTGCTGGGCAGGGAATTTTGCCTTCATCGTCGTACCAATGGCTTGGGTAGCCGTTCATGCCCTTTGCTCCGGGCTGACAGCCTGCCATTCTGCGAGGTTGAAATTGTCACTGAACGAGCGGAGGGAAAGACGCTTGACGGGATGAAAGCTGTGGGCAGTGATGCAGTGCTGGCAGATGTAGGAGGTAGTGGGCTCGGGAGTGTTTGATGGAGATGAAGACAAAAGCGCAAAGGTCAAAGAAACACGGACGCTGGAGCGAGTCAGAGATGCATGAAGTAGCTCCAAATCTACTCTACCTCAATCGACTTGACACCGAATATTGCGACCGGGAGACGGAACACTGTGGGGCTCTTATTATATATCCCATGGAGACTGCTTGCAAAAGTTTTCAGGGTCCGACACTGCCTAAGAAAATGCACATTGTGGCGGCAAATCCACTGGATTCCTGCTTTGCGAGAACAGGTTGAGGCTTTTAGGTAAGTCTAGGTTCGGGAAGTCCCAACAACGAGAACAGTTCAAAATGCGAGAACGGAGTCATCCAATCTCGCGGCATCGGGTTGCTACTTCAAGTTTACATGACTGCTGGATGTCGAATCATGGACCTGTTAATACTATTAGCTACGAGTGAGGTCTATCACTGGACAGTCAAGAAAGTGCACGGGTGGACACTCCAATGCGGGTTTCGCCATACCGTCATTCCCATCGCCCTGTGAGATACGCCGTTGTTGACTCATATGCTCCCTTCCGCATACCTAGCCCGCAAACCGTGATAAGTTGGTGGCCAAGCAGGATGATCACCCGGGCTCGGACGCAGATGTGTCAGGAAATCTTGCGCCAAGATGACTGTAGCCTCCGGTTGTCCAGCCGGGCGATTCTGGCAGAGGATTGGACAGAGATCTCTCCACATGCGGGCCTCGTGTGGTAGCGTCCGAGGAATAACGTGGTAGAGACTATATTACAACCTCGACGTCAGTATGGCCTATTTGAGGAGGTATAGCGAACCTTGGAACATGTATGGAGACTAAAGACCCCGAGATATGTCTCAAGACTCAAGGTTTGCTCCCAAAGGAGGAATATGGGCACGGAAAATACGTACAGGCGGTTGCGGTACTCGGAATTCCAAACATTGTCTACCAAGCGCTTGAACGCTTGATCCCTACAGACGCGCGCCTCAACGGTATTGTCATTGAGACCTCGCCTCATCAAATACAGGTAACCTTGCATCGTTGACATGTTGCTAGTCCCATGCTTCTCTTGCTCATGAGCCAAGAGCTCTTTGAGGCTGTGATCGTTATGGTAGTCGCAGTAGACGCAGTCGTTTTGGCGGCAAATGGCTAGGAGGATGCCGTGGTCGTTGTAGCTGGGGTAGCCGGGCCTGTGGTCGTCCCAGTGGCGGCCTATAAATCTGATGTTGCCATTGTGGAACAGTTTGGTGCAGCCTCGAGCGGGACAGAAGATGTAGCCATCGCGGTTGTACCAGTGATCGGGCCAACCATCGATTGCTCGCTGTCGCATTTCCGAATTCGATTCGAGTGAGGAATGACTTGAGGGTGGAGTCTGAGAAGAGGAAGAGAGAAGGGCCCAAGTCGACGCACTTGCGGATTCAGAGATTCTATGAGTGCAGTTTCTGCAAATACCAACAAGCTAGTGAATGGTGAGGAAGAAACTAAAACACCTAGAGCAAGAGATAGTTGAAGGAGTTGGAGAATGTGTCGAATGGTCCTAGTCCTTCCATGCGTCGTGTACCGCGGAAAAGAGGGCTGGGCCGGGAAGATGGCCATTGTTGCCTCTCTCTCTCGACCATCTGTCGAGCGAGCGCCTTGAGTGGCGTTGTCGGTTCCGCACATGACGGGCAGACAGTTGATAACAGCTTCATCCCGAGCTCCCCGCCCGACGCGGCATCTCCAAGCCTATCAACCGCTTGCCACTCGGGCACTCTGAACCAGTAACACTAAAGCACCGAGTCCCGCAGTGTCGGGATGGGGCAAAACATGGACTCACATGCCAGTCTTTACTTAACACTTACCTTTTAACACTTGTGCTTGTTGGTAGCTCTGAATCTGCAAGTACCCCGAAGTTGGTTGATGACTGTTCGGCATCGGAGAAATCTCCAAACATGAAACATGGGGGCCTTAGTAGACTGCAAGTCGGTGAAAGTCCGTATCAGAGATCCACGCGGGCTACTCGCATAGTGCATCATGCAATTCAGAAAAACTGCTGAGGTTTTCTGTTAAATCTTCGAACAGCATCCAATCAAAGGATACTGCGGGATGAGGAACTGGGAAAGAACGTTAGGACCCTGAGAAAGTGATGATTGTGTCTCTGGACGGCGCTGCTGAGCCCAGCGATACCTGAGATGGAGACGAGGTTCCCTCGGAGAAATTTCGCCATCACTTAGGCACCTCTACAACCTCTGGGTCCAGAAGCACATTTCAAGCACACCGATAGATTTTCAGTCTCTAAACCACAAGCATCTCTTCTCAAGAACCATGTAAAGAGGCAGGACACATGGTTTTGAGCTCCTGTCAAAATCAAAAGCGGGCGGCTAGCTGTTTTTCCCACCCCAACAGTAAAGGCTGCCTCTTCATATTGAGACTGTAGATAACACACGTATTTTGCCACAGCATCTTCAGGAGTATGGCATGCTCGGCACCCGGCTCCGCTTCGGAATTAGTCATGGAGATCATTCCATTGGCTATGCCAGCCCGGTCGATTCGTAGTGAATGCGCAGCCAGAGACTATGCATTTGATACCGTTGCGGCTATTATGCCAGTGCTCTGGCCAGGGGGTGACTGGAGGCATCGGTGCTGGAGGACGGCGGGGGAATATCGAGGACGTTTTTTTCTGGGTAAAGTGAGCCGACGCAGTTGGCTTAATGTTTGTTGGTTAGATTTGAGAGACTTTGGATTGTAGAAGTCGGGCGGATTAGTAGGTAGGCTCTTTCAATAGGATTTTTGTATTTCTGGTAAAATTATGCCACCGCAAGTGGACCCTGGCAGTGTCCGTCGCGGGGATGGAATAAGGCGTATCTCATGACCATCTTTGCACCATGAGTTTTGCATGTGATTGACTTCTGACCACGCCTCCGACTCCCTGGTTCCACACGCCGGGGACGGAGTTGATAGTGGCACTGGGCCGGGGGCTCAATGGTTCACTGGTCTAAGCACAAGAATGGTTTGCAGCCGTGAAGCGAGATGACAAGGCAGAATGACCTATACTGAGGTTCTCTACGGAGCTTTCATACCTGCCTCTCATCCCTTAGACCCCCAAATTGCGAGCCGTTGTGCCCAAGCGCTTGCTCCATCCAACGCATCCTTCACCATTTGCCGCCCACAAAAGCATCCAGGTCATCCTCTAGTGGTGCCAGGGCGACAGAGAAAATGGTCCAGCTGAACTGCTCACGTGTGTCTATGCGCTTTTTCCATCATATGCGCCCATCAGCATATTCCTCCCGCAGGCGCGTCCAGAGAATCCTCCAATGATGATCCGCTGGGTTGTTAGGATGAGGGCGACACTGCCAGAGGAAATGTTCTGCACGTATTGGCCACCAATAGGGAGGTTGGTCGCCTGGTTGTGCTAAGTAGTCGGCAGTGAGAATTTTCCCCATTGTTTCAGGAGTCTGTTGGTCGGGATGGTGGAATCCGCTCTTTTGGAAGAGCAAATCCTTCGTCGCATCCGGAAGAGCCAGAACCTTCGCCAGCATTCGTTGGAAAGCGAGTACCTCGCAATCTTGATCAGGCATCCCCCTACTGGAGAGACGGCCTTCTCTGGCGAGCCTGACGAAGGAACAGATGTTAGACATGTCTGCACTACCGTGAGCGGCATTTTCGTGAGCAAACAACACTCTACTTCTTCTATCCACGCCCTGGTGTAACGGCGGAAGGTCACAGTTGTCAATAGCACAGCATGTTTGCTGGAGCATCTTGTCCAGAATCTCATGTTCAGCACCCTGTGTTCCTATGCAATGATCATGAATCTGGGTCCACTGCAGCAATGCCTCCGGTGAAGGTGTGACGAATCCGCAATTTGAAACAATGCAACGAATGTGATCTTGATCGTGGTACCAGTGATCTGGCCAGCGATATAGTATTGGGTGAGGCATCGGTGAGGAGGTGAAGAGGATTGATGGGTAGATGTTAGAAGGATATTAGTTATTGAAAGACTGATGACGTGAGCTTTTGAGAGTTGCTGTTGTTTACTCTGCGAAGTCTGAAGATAGTGGTTGGATTTCGCAAGAACGGAGAAGGTGAAGGCAGGTCATGAAGTGGTAGCAGACTGCGAATATTTATAATATAGAGAGTGAACCTCTATGGCATGCCAAGTTTCGGTGATCCTTGCGGTCATCATGATGCTAGAACGGCCTATTCTTATTCATAGCGCTAATGACGCGCATGATACGATGACCTGCGGATCGATCAAATCTCGATATATCTCTGACTGGCTGATCCCACACAGTTAAAAGGAAGCTGATAGTGGTGGCGATGGGTCCGAGAGGCGTTCCTTGATTGGTCTAAGCACATAGACGGCTTGCAGCCGTAAGGCGACATGATAGGAATACCAATGCCAAGGTTTCTATGGACTCCCCAAAAGCCTTTAACACATTTCAGACGCCCGCGTTGATGTAATTAGCAACCCAATCGCTTGCTTGATTACAAATGTCCGTCCCCATACATCTGCCGCAAGCGCTTCCAGACTCGACCCCACTGGCAGTCTGCGGGGTCATTCTCATTGGGGCGAAGTGGCCCTAGGAACCGTTCTGAGGGTACTGGCCACCAGACTGGGGTATCTTTTCCGTCTGGCCGTAGAGGGTCGGTGGAGAGGATAAGTTGGAGATTTGAAAGGGAGTGTGGGAGTCCTTTTTTTTGGCAGAGCAGATGTGTGACTGGTTGTTCATACCCCCGAAGCTTCTCCACCATCCGATCGAAAGCGATCTTCTGAGAATCTTGTCCAAGCCGCCCGTGAATACGGCCTTTCCTAGCGAGAACAATGTATCCGCAGATGCTTGACATAGAGTCGCTACGATGAACGGCCTTTTCGTGAGCGAACAAATTTCTGAGCTTGTTGGAGCACGATTGGCCTGGACTGACTCGGTAGGAGCATATGGCACACTTTCGTTGCCCGAGCATCTTCGAAAAGATCGCATGCTCAACACCCGGTGTGTCTGCGCAGTGAATTTTCATAACTCCGAATTGCCTAATGAGCCCTTTCGGTTGGGTTGTGAAACCGCAGCCATCGACCAGACATTTGATGCTATTTTTTTCGGAGTACCAGTGGTCTGGCCAAGGGATTGTTGAATTGGAAGGCATCAGTAGAGACGAGTTACCAAACAATGTCAAGACAGTGCTCTCAATCAAAAAGAAGTGATAGGAGCTCGTGCAGTTAACCCAATGACTTTCTGTGGCCAGAATTCAAACGAAGCGTTGAATTGGAGAGATTTGGAATTGCCGTTATATTATACCGAAGAAATCCTGCGCAATGACGAACAAAATCGTCTTCTGAATGGCTGTATTTCACGAAATACCATCACATGGTACCACGGGTTTGTGAGAGATGCGCACAGTTCTCGATCAGCTGCGTCGAACAGCGGGGCTACTCGGTAGCGAGGTAACAGATTCAAGGCCCAATTCCATTGGTCTAAGAGTGCAACGGCTAAGTCGTCCGTGAATAGCTTCAATTTGTCCAATCTCCAGAACCTTTGCATTACGATCCGAGCCTAGGGGATCGCAGCTCCATATCGGCTTAGGTGCCATGTTTAGAGAGCGTAGCTGCGGGACTCATCCAACTAGAAGGTCCCGTTACGTATGGACGATCGATTCGCTGCAGCCAGCTATCAGCCTGCCCCTAAATCTTCCTGCAACTTCCCACAGAGAAGTCGACATTCCTCCAAATTTCCACGGCTTCCTGCATGTAGCTGGGACTAGGACACCTTAGCACCAGTAAGCTCCGACTGATCGCCACTTCAAATGCATGCGATGTTTGACGAGTGATCTCGGAGATTATGCTAGTGTCGGCAGGCCGCTAATGCAATGTCGGTAAGGCGCTAGGGCCAGCAAGCCTGAGAGTGGCAGCGATACGAGGTTGTCTTCTCCCATGCGCATGTGATCGTGCTTGGGATGCAGCAAAGCAAGTGCTCGGCTGGGACTTTCAGATGCTGAGGAATGGAGTCAATTCGGCTAAGACTGCAGGAGGAAAGAGATTCAAGGACATGCTGCCCAACGGCCCAGTGGCGATGAGACGACACGACGAGTCAACGGATGCTAATATGCTGATGCAGAAGACGGCGCAAGCTGCTGCTGTCTTTTCGATTGCAATTTTTGCGGCTTTACTTATAGTCATCATTTTGTTCTGCGGCCTCAATGTAACATGCGATCAGGCGCCGCTATCTCGATTCTCTGTTTAGTCAGTTGCTTGTTCCAACATAAATGCCCTGTAGCATGGTCATTCTGCGAGTAGACCCATCTCTGCCTCCATGTACCATCTGGTGGATCAGTAAGCCGAGAGGCAAGGTAATTGAGGAAAGTGTCGCCGTGGTTTACCGTCCAATAAGGAGTGTTGGGGCCTCCAAAGCGAAATGCAGGGGGTGAAACAATGTCACCCAATCGCTTCAGACCAAGCTGTTCGGCCGAAAGAGGGCTGCCGTGTTGAAAGGGTTGGTCAAGCACCACGGTTCCCTCCATTCCCGAAAATGCGTACCATTCGAGCAGTGATCACTTTCACCAAAAGAGAGCCGAGTCATCCTGCAACCAAGTTGTCGAACGAGCGCAGAGAATCCTTCGATGGTAGACATGTCATAGGTGCTCTAGCTTCCATCTCGTGAGCGATGGATTCTTTCCGGGCGGCAGGGTTGGCTTGACAAAAGGGGCAAAAAGCACATCGCTCATGAACGTTGTGCCGGTTCCGCGGCACAATTGTTACCCGTTACGTGCACAGTGTCTCCATCGGCGACGGACATACAATCTGGCAACGGACATTTGACAAGCTTCTAGCCATTTTATTCGTCGTACTAATAGAGAAGAAAGATCTCTCAGGAGGCAGGTAGATGAAATCGGTGGGAGAATTGAAAGAAAGAAAACCTTTGACGAGTGATCTAGACTTGATTGCTGGATTGCCATGTAGCTTGAATCACATTCTGGCCCTGAACTTCCTCAAGTGGCAGGACATTCTATCCAGTTACCGTAGTCTTTCGATTACTTGACGATGCAAAGAGTGATAGCGTGTGTGTATAAGCGTTTTCAGCCTTCGCGTCGCTAGTCAGGACTCCGACTAGCCATTTGAAAATGCTCGGGCAGAGGCCCTAGGGGCTACCACGGGTACGAAGGTATTGGGCTATGGGCTGCGGTATGCTGTAACGATGGCCCATTCCCGGCTTAGTCTACGCCGGGGTCATTCTCTCGTCCTTCCGCTTCGTTTCTGATCTCCAGAAATGTGAGTGGCTCTTCACAACTCGCGAAAGGAGTCGCATTGGATGCCGTATGATTTGAGTCGAACATGGATCCAAGAACGACCAGGAATGGGGCAGCTATGACTAACGAAGATTACTGACGTGTTGCCACTGGCTTAGGCTCTGCCCGCTCGAGCGCTCTCCTGAATCAAATCCTTGAATGACAGATACCAGATCATTCCTAGAATATGGATGTATTTCTCCGAGACGTCTCACGAAAGACCACCATTGCACGCTGTCCGAGCGCTCTCAACACTAGTTGCGGTACTCAGCTTGTACGGAAGCTCGGGACACCCACGAGCACGAACCTGCACATATTTGCCGCTTCGGATGCCAATAAAGTCCCTAAGACATACGGTCGAGGTATGTCTGGTAACAGGTAGACCGGCGCCATAGGACAGCGCTCCTCGACGCACGCTTTAGGCGCAGCCTGGTAGCGTCGACACGTCCGATGCTTGAAGCGGGTATCTCGCTGGGAGCCTTGAAAGCCGAAGGACAGGTGAGGATTCGGTGAAGATCCGGTTCGAGGAGCATTACTTCGTGTCAGGGAGCTGGAACTATGTATAGTTCAACAGGCGAATCATACATGATTACCCAAGTTCAAAGACCACTACCAGGAATAGCCAAAGGAGGTGCGAAGACATGGGCTTCTTTCCTACCGCATGAAGTGCCTCTATGAACATACGGATGCAGTCCATGCACCTTCTGCGGAAATATGCTGCCTTATAGGTAGGTTTACAGCTTGTCGATTAGATTGAGCCTCGATCATAGGGTGTTCCCTGCCATCAGCGTTGTTTATCACTCGCATTCATGGTCGCTGTGGGTTGGCCCGGTCTCATGCAGGTCTCCGAAGAAGCTTGCTGTCTGTGTTGCCAGGTTCCCAGCCTCTCACTGGGGTAGATTCCTCGACCAAGCAGTCGTCCCTGCTGTCAGCGTTGTTTGTCCTTTGCGTCGTTATCACTCTACGTTAACAGGAGCTGGAGCTTCGGGCTTCCATGCCAGCTATCTCGTGTGGATTACCGTGCTCCCATCACTCGGCAACCATTCGGCAGGACGGGCGGATCTGGCAGCTGTCATTATTGGCATCTTACAAGTAAGCAGCAATCTCCGTTAACATTGACAAAAGAACAAAGGAACGTGCCGGACAAGTATCGGCAATCCACATCGAGCGGGGAGATATGGCATCTTTAAGGAGTACTGTGTTCATCCAAGGGAGTTCTCTTCGAATACAGCAGGGTCTACAGCAACCGGCCCCATTACAAACAGCATGTTTGATAGCAAGGATACTTCATTAGCAGAACGCTGTCCAATCGGATCACGCTTATGTAAACGCATGACCAAGATTCTTATATCCGAGCACGCCGAGGAACTAAGGCAGACATCAATTTGACGTAAACAAGGCCAATAGCATCAGCCTTCCGAAGCTTCCTCTTTATATAATCGTCCCATCCGAGACCTCCAATACATGTTCCTTCATCCATACCACCTACCACTCTCGTCAAGAGCAACGCGATCCTTCCTTCGCATCCACCCTGTCACCAAAAGTCCCATTCGCAATTACCTTCCCCACGAACATTGTATCCAGATCGTCAATCCATCATGACATCCTCCCCCGCCTCCAAACGCCAAAAACACTCTTCCGCCTCCCCCTCCCCTCCCTACGAGCTCCTCTGTACGTGTCCTCCAAGCCATAATTCCATATTCTTTACCAAAAGTTGAGTCATGAGACATGTCTTGGGGCTATTTACTCCCCATCCACGTCTCACGACTCAAGATCCGATCTAAAAAAGGAAACCACTGACCGCGACGATCATCACCAGACTGGCCCACCATACCCGGCCGCGGCGAACACATCCGCCTCTGCTTCGAAGAGACCCAAACCCCCTACACCGACACCTGCAACGCGGACCCGCAAACCGGCCCCCAAACCCTGCGCTCCCTCATCTCCGGCGCGAACGACGGCGACGCCACGAACCCGCCGCCGCTGGCCCCGCCGGCGCTCCGGCACGGCGACCTCCTGCTCAGCCAAACGCCCAACATCCTCCTCTACCTCGGCCCGAAGCTGGGCCTGGCGGGACCCGGCGGCGGGGACGGGGACGCGGTGTACCACGTGAACCAGCTCGCGCTGACGGCGTTGGACGGGCTGAGCGACGAAGCGCACGACACGCACCACCCCGTGGCCACGGGCGCGTATTACGAGGATCAGAAGGAGGAAGCGAAGCGGAAAGCCGCCGACTATATATCCAATCGGCTTCCCAAGTTCCTCGGCTACTTCGAGCGTGTGTTGCGAGGTGAAGCGAGTGGCGGCGGGGAGTGGCTCTATGGGGGACAGTTGACGTATGCGGATTTGGTGCTTTGGCAGTGCGTGGATGGGGTCAGCTTTGCGTTTCCGGTGGCGGTGAAGCAGATGAGGGAGGGTGGGAAGTATGGGAGGGTGTTTGGGCTGTATGAGAGGGTGAAGGGGAGGGAGAATATTGCGGCGTATCTGAAGAGTGGTAGGCGGCAGAAGTATAGTATGGGGATCTACAGGCATTATCCGGAGCTGGATGCTGAGGAGGTTTAGGATTGAGGCGTTACAGAAGCGAGCATTCGCGAGCAGATGATGGTCTAGAAATGAGAATGGTTTATATCGACGTCTCTCAAATTGACGATCCTCCAACCCTTGCGCCTGTGGAGTTTATGTGCCTTTTGAATGCCGCAAATAATGACATGTCCCGCCCAAGATGAATGTCTGTCGTCTCATAGTCGACAGTACCCTGCGCCAAAACGATTTTAACCCACGGCTTACCGCCTGCACCGTTGACGCCCTCTTGCACGACTACAATGTTAAACTCATGTTCTTCTTGCAGCCATTCAGCACCGAAAGGATCTTCGCACCACGCCGGTCAGACAAACCCCTACTCCGCAAAATCTCTCACATACCCACATGTGACCGTCGTCTCGTCAATCTTGGGATCGGTAGGACTCTTCTCAGCCTGCGGTGCGGGCTCGGCAATCTGAACATTGGAAGGTTCATAAAGTGGCAAATCGCCAGTCATCCTCCCTCTCACATTTTCCTTCCCGATGGCCTTCCGCTGCTTTCTGCTGGGGAAGTCGCTCTCTTTGCCGGGCATTATCTGCCCAGGATGAACGATATTGAAAAGCACGAGAGCGATGAGCATGAGAGTGGAGTCGAAGATGTACTGGTATGCTTCGTGGACTGGGATGCCGCTGCTGTAGCCTTTGGAGTACTCGACCAGGCGGAAGATGATGCGGACCTAGGGCAGTGTAAATCGTGTGTTTGTTTGCGAGGGGTATGGGAAGAGTGACGCTTACAGTGATGAGTCCCAGGACGGCATAGAGGGTGTAGAGCATTCGGAGCGCTCGTCTTTGATCCGTCACGGGAGCGTCACGCTTCATCTGACGTTGGAAACGGATTGCTAGGCCGACGAAGCAACAGATGAAAAATTGTTGTAGGCCGACACCACCCATGTATATGTGGAGACCTGAGGGACACTCAATGAGTGGCCTGCATCACTATGGGTATCGCGGGGCTTATTCACCTCTGAAAATCTGGCTCTGCGGGATATTGTTACCCGAAGCCATGCTTGCTCCTAGGGCTTGGACAATGAACGCAAATATGTCGAGAAGTACGAAGTAAAGGCCGAATCTCCATGCCTTGAACCGAAGAATCTTCGCGCTGGAGGTGAAGTTGTACACCATTCTGCCCAAGACCATGTACACGTATGCGTTGGTCCAGAGTGGTGCAAGCTAGGTTTTGATGAGCCTTCGAATTTGCTTCTTCAAATATGCAAAGACAGTCTTACCAGCATCAGAATAAACCAGACCGCGTAATAGGTTTCATTTGCAAAGTACTTGATGCTGAGGCTGCGGAACACGTAGCAGGCCGTCTGCCACAGCGCTCCCATCGCTATGACCCAGCTGTAGCCTTTGCGGTAGATGATGGCTTGGACAATGTGTGCGGTAAGAGTGAGGCCAAAGAGGATGGCGAAGAGGTATGCGGCTCCGGAATTTGGGCAGAGTCCTGGCCATTCCGTGCTTGGATCCGTTAGCGCTGGGCAGCCTCCCATCATGGACAAGGGATGCAAAAGAAGCCTAAAGCTGCTGAGATGATGCGCAGTTGAATGTAGACGAGGATCGAGCAGCCAGCGGACTGTTAGGAGATATTGTGTTATAAGGGCAGCGGAAGGTCAATGGTATAGAGCTGATGAAGAAGCTTGAAGCAGATAAATTTTGAACAAATTGCAGTTCATCTGAAGCAGTGATACTTGTATGGAAGGAATAAGGAGAGTCTGGCCGGGGCATCCTGGCATAGATATAGTCTTCACTCATATTTGATATGTAAGATTCGGATGTATTTAAGTACACGGCCGCCGGCTGCGTCAATGATTTTGCGTACATTGTAACATGCTGATACAGCATAGAGCATGCGTGGACATTCAATTGTACGAGCAGACCAATGAGACGCCAGAAAGACACGAGAAGATGACAACAAGGATGAAAGACAATCTGACATCTTAAAGTCAAATTACGAGCAACTCCGACATTGCCCAGGGGAAGGGGCATCTGGTGTACAACATTAGGGTATTGTGTCTCAAGATACGCCTATGCAGCGAAAGTAGAAATCCAGCATATCGAAGATGCTCAGGTAGTTATGGAAGATGCTACTTACCGTACCTTAGTTACGGAAGATGCTGTGAACGCGGATGGTGTTGAGGCTGGAGCTCAACCCTGGCAATCTTACCCTTTTCTCATTGGTCGATTCGTATCTTCAAATACGCTAGCAGCCCTACGATATTTTGCTGGTGCCTAATACGTCACTAGCTCCGCCTTGCCAGGCTTCCCGCTCCAAAGCAACCAGCCTCCACCAAACAGATGAAAGATCTCGCTGCAAGATGTGTGTGGGAAAGCGGTCGTACGCTTTCAAGCCTACAACTAGTATAAGTTACTGTTTAGTGACGGACTACTAGTGATCAACTTTTGGTCTAGTCGTAATGAGCATAACCCGTCCCGCTTCTATTACGCAGGATTTCTTCTGCGCTTGTCTGGCCCTCCTGACATGAAAACACCCGTCCGTCTCCCCAATCTCGTTGGTCCGCTCGTATAATAGCCTCTTCGACTTGAAAGAGTCTTTCATATCTCTTCATCCAGGTCGCGCTGAGACTGTATCCACAATGGAACAAAGTCTGGGCCAAAAGCTTCCGATTGGACGTCTTGAAAAGGCGGTCTCGCCTTCTGATGAAGCGGGCAAGCAGTGTACTGAACAGGCCTATGTCAAGCGACCAAGAAGAAGCAAACCAAAAGTCAAAACGGGTTGCATTACCTGCAAGTGAGTCAGCCTAATCTCACCCAGGCATCAAGAGCCGCGTTATTCACGTAGGAGCTGTGAAAATGCTCGAAAATCTTTACTTGTGCATCCTCCTTCGCTACCCTGCATGATCCTGCGCATATTTTGTCAAGCACGAGCTAGCTGGAATCCGCGTTCCATCTTGACGCTCGCGTCGTGTGCGTACTATCTTGATACTACAATCACTATGGCATGCGAAAACGTGAAGTGTTCTTATTTGCTGTATCCGACACCTATACTAACGCCTATGACAGGAGTAAGGCCGACCGTCCGTGGGCATTGGTGAAGAAGCTAATGCTTGATATCGATCCCAGTCCGACGGGTAAAGTGTGATGAAAAGAAACCCAGTTGCAAGAAATGTACAAGTACTGGTAGAACGGTAGGTCTCTTTTTTTGAGTCTTGCTGTTCGTCCTGTAATTCTCTGCCCTTCATCGCAAACCCGAAGTAGCTGATGTCTCTGATCTTTACTCAGTGCGACGGTTATATTAGATTCTATGAAGATCCGAACTCGACCTATGGTAAATGTGCTGTGGCAGAGCCTCGCAGCTCGGCGATGGTCGTGATACCGAATCCGGTTTTCGATACGCGGGGCAGCGTTGAGGAACGACGATGCTTTGACTTCTTTCTCAATCGAACTGCGTCTCAGCTGTCAGGCTTTTGGGACTCAGATTTCTGGGACTGCTCAATACTCCGAGCGACTCATCACCAACCGGCTATAAGGCATGCAGTTCTCGCACTGGGCTCTCTACACGAGCGTTTCGAAGCTGGAGACAGGTCCGTTATGAATCCCATATGGAATAAAGGAGAAGGCGGCTTTGCTCTGAAACAATATAACCAAGCTATTCAACAATTGATCAAACCTGCGAGCGAGGGCCAACAAGCCGTCGACGTATGTCTTATTGCTTGCATGCTTTTCGTATGCTTCGAGGTAAGCCCTTCCTTAACCCTTGATCAAATTTTTGGAGAAGAAAAAGATGAAGGAGCGCAATCCGGCGAGCGTCAATTACCGGCTGAGAAGTCCCTAGACATTGCGCGGCCACCATGGATCGGCCCTCTCCCACGTAAATAGTGGCGTAAAAATTCTGTCCGAGGTGGAGTTCAACAACAATGGCGAGCAACACCATGGAGTGCTAACGGCGTCACCGCATCCTTTTGTGAATCTTCAGGAGCTTGAGATACTATTCAACCGATTGGATGCTCAAGCAGCTCAGGCATGTCCTTGCTTTCTTCCGTTTATTCCTATACCTTATGCTTAGCGTTCCCCTTCTCTTCAAGTCGACTGCCTTCGCTGACCGCAGTGCAGATGGTTGGAACTCGACCGATGCTACTCCAGAAGCGCCCAAGAGACATGGAAAAGGGGTTTTGTCCCGAGATCCCCGCCGCATTTACTTCCTTAGAACAAGCCAGAAATTCTTCGGATTACCATTGGAACGGTTGTATTGAGTTCTTGAACGAACTCCAGAACAACAATGGGTACCCAAAGAGCAGAGGGATTAGAGGTCAAGGGCCTCTCGACGCTCTTAGGACAACAGAAGCGGCTCGACAAGAATATTTCGATGTCTTTGGAAGATGGCTTGTTGCATTTCAAGGCTATCTGCAAAACCATGAAAAATCATTGGACAGCAGAGGCTTGCAAGCGGCGCGTACTCTGGAGATTAGCCACAACTTCGCCATGATATACCTAAATGTCAGCACTGTCGGTGTCTTCAATGATGAGACAGCGTGGGACATGTTCACCGAGCATTACGAACGTGTTGTAAACTTGGCCGCATTGATCATCAAATCCTCGACTTGCAATGGGTTCGCCAAAAAACGAGGCCCTGACTTTACCTTGGACATGAACATTATTGCCCCTCTCTATGCCGTGGCCCACAAGTGCCGTCATCCCATAATACGCAGGAAAGCCATTTCTCTCCTGTACGCAGCCCCACGCCAGGAAGGTATCTGGGACAGTATTCTCACGGCGCGCGTTGCCGAGAGACTCATTGGCATCGAAGAGGCCGGACTCGGCAATGTCACTTGTAGCGAGGATGTACCCGACTGGGCACGGATATCTGACGTTGAGGTCAAATTTGATCCGCAGGGACGCCTGGGGACTGTCAAATATAGTCGCCAACGAAGTCCTCTGGAGAAGGTGCGAGATACCGTCATAGAGTGTGTCAGGTGGTGAGGAGGCAGTGCGCAGTAGACATCTGTCAACTTGTCGCCTGTTGGTCGGTAATTAGACATATTAACCTTCAAATAACCGCTATCTATGAACGCTGCGTTACAGCTCTTTCCACATCACTATAAAGGAGCGGAGCCAGATGGGGAAATAGAGATCTGGACATGCAACTCAAATTCTCTCATATTGTGTCACTAGATTCAGATTTCTACGTATATTGACTTGCCTTTGAAATTTTGGGCTGCCAAGAGCGCATGAGGTTTTTGCATTTATATTGCATTTTTGGGAGGTAGAAAGCCTTGTGAAATCTCTTGCTGTATCTTCTTCATTACAGACCACTTCCAACCACCCAACGCCATAGTGCCAGAACAGTTAAATCATCATCCGCCTCTCGAATAACAAGACTTCAAGGATCTTCCAATCTCACATCCACAACAGAACAACCAACAATGTCTAGAGTTACGATCCTCCTCGCTACCCTCGCCATCGTCTCGCTCATCCTCTCCTCCCCAATCGAGCCACGGAAGTGGGGCCATGAGATCGATAGCGGTGTCCTTACATCCGAATTCGTCCCGGGCTTCATCGGCGAACGTCCAATCACCGGCCCTGACGGCGATTACCTGCGCGCCACATTTTGCTACTGTAAAACCCCTCTCGACCTCGCACCAAGGGGTTTATTCGATGGAACCGGCGATGGCCAACACAGCGGTGGCGGCGGCGGCATCCAACCCGGCGAAATCGTACAAGGACATTTCTGGCGCTACGAATACTTCAACTACCACTACAACGCCACCTACTTCATGAACCACTACTGCATGGAAGATGCCTTTCCCCAAGACAAGTATGGATGCGGTTACGACGCTCCTGGAAAATTCGAACCGGTGCCCAACAGTTTCTGGAACACCCAAATCCAAAATGATATCGCTTTCAACTATTCGCCGCTACCGGGTCATGATTTGCATAGCTGGACTATGTCCAAGAGACAGACGGATGTCGATTGGATCTTCTTTGGGCGTGGAGAAATGCGTACGATGCAAAGGAGAAGGTTGGGTCAGGATCAGGGGTTGATTAAGATGCCGCGCGAATATGTGGATGACAAGTGCTCGCATTACTGTGATACGGAGTTGCTGTTGCCGATGGATCCGACAAGGAAGAGTCACGGGGAATTGTACAATGATATCGATGATATGTGCGACAGGTGCGCATAGGCTAGGGCGATGGGGACGTGGGTTTTTGGCTTTGCATGGCGAGGTTTGGGTTTCATAGGGTTTGCGAACTTGGGGGAATGGTACTGCTTCGACAAGAGTTGTGATTACTGTGGTCTAGATCTATGAAACGGTGTTTCCTTGTTCTTCCAGAATAGCCCTCGTTCTCCGTTGCTCATATTGTTCCTGCCTTTAGAGAGATCGTGTATGGAAGTCAGGCACGTCTTGGCGTAGCGCGTCGCGCTAAGCGAGGATCTTGAACGCGACTTCCACTTTTACCTAAGCTCCACCACTCAAATTCTCCAGTAGAGCCTCAATTGTCACTATTAGAGACGAGAAGCTTCTCCACGAATAAGAGCTTTACCCTTAAGACCGATGATTGACACAACTTGATATGTTATTTACCAAGGATAAAGACGAATACAGGCAAAGTAGCCAACAACTGGCAGCATCACCGGTCGACTCACCGGTCAAACCCATGAGCGTCCTTACACCTCCAATGTCTTCTCCAGCCTCCTTGAAGCGTTCATTCGCGGACACTGGCTTGGATGCACACTTACGGGATCAGATCACTCCGACTCCTAGTGCGAACGCACATGTACCAGCCTCTAGCCAAGCCTGCTCACGGAGCCCCAGTCCCGCCAATCTTCCCCTGTCTACCAGCTCTGCTGCCTCCAACACTTCTCCGGCAGCTGTCCAAGGCTCTTCCGCTGCTACACTTGACAAGTCTAACAAGAGGACTAAGCTCACGTATGCAGAGAAGGAAGCTAGGCAGATAGAGATACATTTTAAGGAGCAACAAAAAGCGGAAGAGAGAGCAAAGAAGGAAGAGGAAAAGGCTAAGAAGGATTTGGAGAAGCAAGTGCGCAAGATGATGAAAGAGGAGCAAGCCAAGGTGAGGGATGATGAGAAACAGAGAAAGCTGGAGGAGAAGCAGAAAGCGGAGGAGGAGAAGAACAAGAAGGCTAAGGTATGTCACTATACAGAATACTGGAGAGCGGTATCAGTAATGCTGACGTTTCTACAGTCACAACTACGTCTCAACGCTTTCTTCGTCCAGCCTGCCGTGCTGAGCGGTACACCAAGTGCATCACCAACCCGCGATACAGCAAGCCCACTCAAAAGCCGGCGCAGCTCAATCGCGGAAATTAAGGAGATGGAAAACCCCCAAGAACGATCGCGATCAGTGTCTATCACACCACAAAAAGCTCGGCTACAGGACTATAAACGACAATTCCCGCCATTCTTCTTGCAGTCTCACACGGTGCTAGCTCCCCACAGCCGCTTTTCCCGCGACGAAAAAGGCCTGGAGTATGCCCAGAAAAAGATCGACGAAGGTATTGGTCGAGGAGGGGGGGCGGTTGGGCCCTTCAATGCCTATGATCTGCTGCATCTGTCCTTAGATTTCAGCCAACGTTTTCCTCGAGTCCACGCAGTGAAAGATATTATCGCAAAGATCCATGGCTCGGCACGAAATCCAATCGACCTGACCGAGTCGCAGTTTAGGAGGGCAATAGAGAAACCTACGGACCTTCTCAAGACTGTACCCATGAAGTACCTAAAGTTTCTCGAAGACTATCGGCCGCCCTATACTGGAACTTTCACGAAGGCACAAGACCGTCGAGCTATGTCAAAACTGTGCAGAAGGCCTTTCAGTCGCGAGCTTCCAGACACAGACTATGGTTATGATTCGGAGGCAGAATGGGAAGAGCCTGGGGAGGGTGAGGATCTTAACTCGGAAGGAGAGGAAGAAGCTGGGGAAGACGAGGAAGAAAATGAGATGGAAGGGTTCCTTGATGACGAGGAAAATGAAGCTGTCAAGAAACGGCCCCAACTAGGCGATCTGGAGCCCACTTGTAGCGGCATCTGCTGGGAAGATCTTGAAAATGAAGGCTCCAAGCTTGCGAATCTAGACGTCTTGGACTTATCGCTCTTCAAGCTCGACATCTTGATGGGTAAAACCTCCATGCTTCATCTAATACCAGTGCTGACAGACATAGAAAACCCGCAACTCCCTATTGATCCCTACTCGACCTCATACTGGAAACCTGATACCTCGATGAATTCCCTAGGTGCATTACCACATGTAAAGGGTACGCTTATGGAACCACCGCGTATCCCATTGAACCCGATCAATCGCCAGAACACTCTCCTCAATCCTTCCGCGGCTGCGACTGGCATCAAAACCGCTGACTCGGATGTTAACGCCCCTATGAAGCCCGCGAAAGGCCCCAAACGTCTGATTCCATTAGAACTTTTGGATGAGTTCAGGAAGGCTGTTGATGGGAATGAGCTCACGAAACTAGGCTTACTCGAAGTCCTTAAGAAGCAGTGAGTCTACTATGCGTACTGAATAAGAGCGAGCGGAGATGCTAATAATCGAAACAGGTTCCCAAAGCAGCCAAAAGCAGCTCTCAGGGATACCATTGACACATTCGCAGAGCGTATTGGGTCGAAAGAAGCGGAGAAGAAATGGGTGCTAAAAAGTGTTTCCCAGTTCTGATTGTCTATGAGTACTACTTGATAGCTCGATTGCAGAGCTCTGATATCCTGTATGAGGGCAGTAGAAAGCATGAAGCATAGCTCAGAGCTTTGACGTTGCATAGCTAGATGGCTACTTTGCTTCTGCATTTACTTCTGCATATTCAAAGACTTTTAAAATTTAGCTGATGCTCATGAATGATGCATATTAAGGCTGATAGAGTACGTATCGTTGAGGCTTCTACATAAGATGTGAGGGCAGGCACCGAGGCGCTCTCAGAGGTCAGGACGCTTCATCCTTTTGGCGTTTCTTCCGTGAGATGAAGAATAGATATGTTGTCTACATTTACTCTACTACAATTGCTTTTCACGGATTCTTTGTTCAAGAGTACAAACTTTGAATTCTATAGTCGGTCGCTTGAGATCTGTTCAATCGACTTCTCAAGAAGTCGAGAGAAAAACTCCGATGATGCTAGTGTGTTTGTCTTTTGCATGTACAAAAAGGCATTGTGTCAATTTGGAACGATACATATTATTTAGAGTGCAACATCAGTAGACTACGATATTTATTGCCTCCATGGCCTACCGAATCAGAGTAGAGGCGGTATTTTTAACTGTAATTTATTCGTAGCCCTAGCCCTGACTACTGAGAAAATATGGCATCACTCTCCGCAACCTCCGCCCATCCTCTGCGACAACCTCATGCTCTTCATTGAGGGAGTAAAGAACCTCAATGCTTTACTATAGGAATGCTCTCAGACTATATAGCCATTGCCTGCCTGGTATGGTATTTCACCGTTCTCGCCGTGTGTGCAATTGGCGTCTTCCAAATGTACTGATACCTCACAGTCACCCAACCTTGATGCCAGCTGACGGAGCTGCAGACGACAAAATCAATTGAGAACGCCTGCATCATCTGTCTCTAATACTATACCAATCGCACGAGTTGCTCATGTGACAATTATCCGTCCCGTCAAGGGCATCGAGCCATACCTCTACGAATGCCTCGCCGCGACCTTCAACCAAACGTATCCGAGGGAGAAATTGACGATCTACTTCTGCATCTCGTCACGCCGTGATCCCGCTTTCTCGACTCTCGAGCGTCTTGTAGCGGACTACCATGGTTTTGATGTCAAGATACTGGTGGAAGAAGAGGATCCGAACCTCTCGGGTCGCGATGGCAGAATTGGGAACCTGGGACCGAATCCTAAGATCAGGAACATGAGCAGGGCATACCGTGAAGCCAAAGGGGATGTAGTGTGGATCATAGACTGCAATGTCTGGGTCAGCCCATCCGTTGCAGGCCGCATGGTGGATCTGCTCTGCGGCTTTACGCCTACGGCTCGAGGACGGAAATATAAATTTGTGCACCAACTGCCCCTGGTCGTGGATGTCTCTTCTACCGCCCCCGCTGTTCCAACCAACAGTCTCTCCTCCGGCCCTCAGGTGCCTATGATCCCCATGTTGCCAACGAACGGGGCAGGTGGACTCCTCGACGAGCTCTTCCTCTCTACCTCCCATGCGAAGTTCTACACTGCAATTGCTACCGTCGCTATTGCGCCCTGCACAGTGGGCAAATCGAATATGTTCCGGCGATCACATTTGGACGCTCTAACTACGTCCACATCTACATCTCCGTATAATACAAATCCTGACGAGCAACATCAGGGGATCGATTTCTTCAGCGACAATATCTGCGAAGATCATCTGATTGGAGACTTACTCTGGCGGTCACCTGTGCCCCTAATCGTGCAAGATCTTGCTGGATTCGAAGGCGAAGACCCACAAGTACAAACTCAAAAGCCGAAAACCACCTGGGGCAATCATGGCCTTCTCCCGCCGCACCCCTCGAATCTCTGCACGCAGCCGGTCGCCAACGCATCGCTGATATCCTACATCGACCGCCGCACCCGCTGGCTGCGCGTGAGGAAGTTCACCGTCCCGCTAGCTACGCTTGTAGAGCCGGGTACTGAATCGCTCTTGTGCTCCGCCTACGGCGCATGGGGCCTCACCACTCTCCCCTGGTGCCATCGTACGCTTGGCATACCGCAGACATGGCTCACTTTTTCCGCTATATATTTCTCAAGCATTATCATGTGGGCGGCAATCGACCGCTACGTCTGGAGCATGTTGCAGTACGGTGGAACTGCCGAATCAGAAAGGCCTTCTTTTGGCAGGACGAGAGGCAAGAGGAGAGGGTTGAAAGAGTGGATTTTCGCGTGGCTAGGCAGAGAAGTGCTAGCGTTTCCGATATGGGCGTGGTCTTCTTTTGGGGGTGTGACGGTTGTGTGGAGGGCGAGGAAATTCTGGGTGGGGATGGATATGAGGGTACATGAGATTGAGGGCGAGGAAGGCGAGGCCGGGAAGAGGAGGGATTGAGAATCTCAGGAGGATATCGTTCCCGTACACCTTGTTGACACGGCGTGGAGCAAAAACTCGCTGCTATGCATGTATATACCTAGGTAAATAGACTGACTGCACTTCACACCGTAGCGCTTCTCTCTTCTATCCCCGTGCCCCCCCTTTTTTTCCCTAGTCCATACCTACTCATCCTTCCCCTTCCCCTTCCCCTTCCCCTTCCCCTTCCCCTTCCCCCCCAACGCAAAACCCCATCAACGCAGCCCCACCTATCACGCCTCCCCAACCCCAACCCCAACCCCAGAACCTCCCCCCGACTTCACCACATCCTCCCAACCATCCATCCCCCCCAACCTCATCCAGCGAACCCCCTTCCCAACAACCTCATCTCCACAAACCAACCTCATCTCCACAAACCCCCCCCCCCTTCCCCTTCCCCACAAGTGCTCACACACCAATCGGCATCAAAACCCCCACGCGAAGCCCATTCAGCGCACTCAGTGGCGCCACCGTGCCTCCGATTCCTCATCCCCGGCTGTGGGGCCAAGGGAGGGCAAGAGGTGGGGTAGGCGGGAGGGGGTGGGGAGGTGTCGGCTGGGACGCGGGCTGAGACGCTTGGGGGTCCGGTGGTGGTAGGGGGGGGAAGGCGTGGTGATAGGATGGTGCTGCTGATGGCTTGGGGGTTATGTGAGGGTGGGGCGGGAATGGGGTAGCTGGTTTGTGTTTGGTGTTTGGGTTTGGGGTTTGGGTTTTGGGGGTTTTTTTTCTTTCGTCGCAGCGTTTAAATCGTAGGGTTCGAGTTGTGAGGGATTAGAAACGGTGGCGATAGGTTCGAGGAGTGGATTTGGAGTGGCCGGTATTTGACGGCTGACGGATAGGGGAAAAGGATTGGGAGTGGTTGGAGGATGAAGAGATTTGAAGCGGTATGAAGCGGATGATGATAGTATGCATGTAATAAATTAAAAGAAGAAGGTGAGCATGGACAATTGTGATTCGTGAGCGTCGACTACCCGCAGATGCATGAAGGGAAGTTGGGTCCAGGCCCTGTGATTGGCCGAATACTTTCAGTCCATCTTTGCATTCATCTGTGGGTATCATTCGCACGTGTATCATACAAAAACCAAGCTTCCAAACACGCTATGCAGCAGTACAAGCCGACAGGTCCACTCAGTCACGTTCTCTATTCGGCGTCCATCGTTTCAGTGTCAGTTCTCTAACTTTGTATTGCTTGAGGACTTGGCCGATGTCGATTTCCTTGACGCTTGCCTTTGATTCGGCCGGGACTGGGACAGCCCTGGGTGGTGGCACTTCAACATAGCAAATCACCAAACTCTTGCGCACTTGACTTTGCACGCGGTTGACGCAGTGCAGCCACCACCAGCTTTTACTCTCCTTTTTCATCGTTGACTTCTGCAACTCTTGTGTTGATCTCCAGTAAGTGTGCGTGTAGGCCGGCAATACAATAATCGCGAATTCAGCATGCGAGAACACAGGCCCCCGCAGGTAAAGAAGCCAGTCAACGGCAAACTTTATGCCTGGACGAACAACCCAGCCCAAGGAGCGGAAATGGTGGTATACCACGTATTGCAGGAGGAAGGGGTCGTCAGATTGCAGATCCTGGCATTCGCGGGGCGGGAAGTAGCTGTGTCGGCGGAAGAGGGTGAAGAGGGTCTCTGGAAGTAGGGGAGCAGAAATCTTCTGAGCGCGGATCTGGAGTATCCCGAGAGCGTAAACGAGGAAGAAGGCTTCCGACGGGTTCAGCTGGAGGTGTTCTTGGTTCTCGATTGCCGCGGCTTCAGCTTCGAGGTCCTGCTCAGTGGGCTTTGAAGGGTCGCTCGTGGCAAGCCCGGTGGGAAATTGCGAAACATAGTCCTCTTTCCCAGTATCTTTGTCATCTGCAGCGTCTGATAGGGACAGCATAATCGGAGGCGGCACAGGTGGGCTCAGAGGTTGCTGTTCGAACAACGACTCCATGGATTTGGCCAAGCTGTCCACCGGTCCGCCATTGAGGTCTTCATATCTCGAGCGTGCTGTTGGTTCAGCCACGTGCCCATTCTTGTGGATCCGCCTTTCTTCTTTCAGCTTCTCCTCAATAGCCTCACGCTCCTTTCTCGCTCTCTCTTGCTTGAACCTCCTCCTCTCCGCTCTCCTCTGAGCCGTGAATTCTTCACTTGTCTCATTGGCGATCAGACCCTTTCTTTTTTTTTCTCGGTCCAGCCAGCTAGGCTCACTTCGGCTCAAGCTACCTTTGCCGAAGAAACCACTTTCCCATAGCGCTCGTATGGCTGTCTCGTCTGTGACATGCACGGAGCGGGTCTCGGGGGAGAAGTAACCGTGGTAGAGGATCTTGGGATGGGATGATGGGGGAGCCAGGAGTCGGTAGAGGTAGGTGAAGGCGATATAGAATATCGAGAGGGGGTTGTGGGGGATGAGGGGTGGTGAAGGATAGACGTTCACTGGGAGCGATTTGGCGTGAATCTTGCCATAGCTTGGTCTTGGAGGAGGTCGGGGAGGTGGTGGTTCAGAAGGTTGTAGCAATGGCTCTGTGGCCTCTATTGAGGTCATGATTTGGGGATGTACTCAAGGCCTGGGATCGGCCGTTGACGGACCTGCAGATTTATTGGTGGTTAGCAGTCGGTAGGTCAAATGCTGAGACTGCTCGTTATGTATTCTTGGCTGCTCAGATACCGTTGTAGTCTTCTCAAGAGAGAAAGTGAGCCAGCAGAGAAGCAGACATAAAGTCAGAGTCATGCCTCTAGGCCGCTGTATGGTGTCATCCTCGCAGTGGAGAGACTTTTTAAATAGTAAAGGAGAATAGATAAATTACTTATGCTTACGTTTGCTCCTCTGTATGTTTCATTATTCTTGGTGCATGCATGTTGAGGAGTAATCGTCGGAGTGGATCTGTGGATATATAAAGTACATGTACTATTCATGAAGTAGCGGGTCGAGCGGGTCAGAAATCTCGGCTAGATTTGATAAATTTTCTGGCCCCCAACCTAGCGTCTGCAAGCGATTTTTTAGTTAGCTTTCGAACCTTGAGACCACCGGCCAACCACAAGTCCACAACAAGAGTACATCAGCATTGCTACAACGTCTTGCCCAGGATGCATCTCATGTACACCTTAGATGCTAATGGGAAGCGGCTGTACACTCTCAATAAGGTTTGCCGTGTCTTGTCATACAGCACGTCCGCGTTCGCTGACACTTTCAAAAATTCCACAGGTCCAAGCGGGCGAGGTCACAAAGTCAGCACATCCAGCCAGGTTCAGTCCCGATGACAAATACTCGAGTAAGGATCCCCTCTCTATCCGAGATGTGAGAGACGAGGCAAGCTGACAGAAGCGGCGTTGCAGGACATCGGGTGACGCTGAAGAAGCGCTATGGGCTGCTCTTGACCCAGATTAGTAGGTGGACGATTGTGCACACAAATGTGAGAGGGGCTGACTGGAAGCAGAGAACGAGAAGGTCTTGGGACAATAGGGACCATGAGAATTGCAAGGTGTCCGGACCTGATGGAGATTTTCCCATGACCATTATACCACTGAAGCAGTGAGGATGGGACGACCGGTCAGATGCGTCCGCTATATTGTGAAGCACAACCTGATGTCGGACTACTCGGTGGGAAAGAGGGTTTCCCAAACAATCTGGCTTGGTTCAAAAGAACAGCCGCCGTTCAATCTCTGAAATCAACGATAATTGGGATGGCATTAAGTTTATGGTAGTGTGATTGATCTATGCCATCAAATCCTCTTCTTCGAATTGACATTCCGTCCTGCCCCAATCTTCGGCCTGCCACCAGCTTTGCCCCTATCCCCTGTCAGTATGCTAGGTAGATAGTCCTCGTCCATCAGATCCATCTCTTTTTTCTTATTTCGGCCATCCATAGCACGTAGATACTCCTTCTGATCCTCGGCAAGAATGAGCTCCTGGCCCCATCCACCCTTTCCGCCTCCTTTGCCCTGACCCACTTTACCATTGGCAGCTCCAGGTACTGGCTTGGGGATACTGAAACGATCTCCCCTATGATTCCACTGCATGTTCTTCTTCAAATGGATCTTGAACTCGCCCTTGGAATTTGTGGAACATGACACTCTCGTGAGAGTCGGCTTTCCGCATTTCGAACAGAACTGCTTGGACATGTCCTTTTCTTTCGCGAAGCACGCGTGGCATCGTAGAATGTAGGTCCTTATGTTCCGGACTCTTTGTAGAGACGGGGATAGCAGGTTCAAACCTATTTGGAGGCATACATTTTGCATTGCAAAATCTCCACTCAGCAATGCTACTTGAATTGGCTGGTTTTCCGGAATCGGCAATGCGGATCCGTTGACGTCTTTTGCTTGGTGCTTCTTCACGTTTTTCGGAGTGATCCAGCCTTCTGAGTCTGAGGAATCTGAACTTGCCTCAATCTGCTCTATTTCTGACGACTCCGGGCCTGATGCTGCAACACTATCTTGTTGCACATCTTCGTCTGTAAACTTGAGACTGCCTAGACTTTCAGAAACACCGTTGGCTTCATCTGCCGTAGTAGAGTCCCGAGCACCGAGTGGTACGCAGCCTTGATCGCTGGTTGCAGCCTCGAAGGGTGCAACAGTGTCCGGCTCTTGGGAACGGTCGGTGTCTCCGGTTGGTTGAGTCTCTATAGTCGATGACTGATTTGTCGCTTCTGATGCGTCCCCAGATGCAGCCTGTTCTTTCCGTCCATTCACTCCTTTTTGGCCAGGAGCATTTCTGATCCTCCAATCACCCCCATTCCGCTCACACTCCAGTTCGTGTGTCAGAGCCAAGCATAGCAAATCAGTCTTGGATAAAACTGCCAAGTCCCCTGTCTTTCTCGAGAAGTCGGTAACAAATCGGAGACTTCTTTCGCTCGGACTCCTGATTGTCAGAAATGGGAGAAGAGTGGTCTCTACTCGGGAGCGGGCATTTTCATCCCTTATTTCGGCTATAACAGAAGGTATTGTAAAAAGGTTCTCGCACTGGCTGATCAAAGTCGAAACTGTTGGCTCGTTTTTCAGCAACGGTCCTGCATCCAGGACTATCGTGTGCACAGGCTTGCGTAAAGTCATCTTCGAAAGAATTCTCGTAACCTCTAAGCAAATAGGTGAGTTAGGATAAAGAAATTTGGATCAACTCGATTGTGTAGAGGGTGATAGATACTGAGTAGGCAAATTGGTGGCGTTTGACGATTCGCTAGTCATGTAAAGATTTTAGCCACTGAAAATACAGCTGGAGTACGATGTCACATCAGATCGTAAATCCTTTTTTGTGTACTAATGGCGACTCGGATTTCACACAGAATAGTATCTAGGCTTGTAGATAGAAGATCACAAGATTTATAACGCTGTATGTTTCACGACTATCTTAGATAGCATTTAAGATACGCCGATTCCTTCTTGCCTCTGAGGCTTGGGCCATGAAAAGTCAAAATCCGAGACCAACAACGTCCATCTTGCTCTTTCCAGTGCATGGAGATCCATCTTCGAACCGCACATAACAAATCTGATCCCTTCATCCAGAGCCTGTCTTCTTCTAAATACATTTTTTCAGCCTCATCCTTGGCTGTCGCGCTTCAAAGGTCTTCGCCCGGCCGTTGTTTGCTCAGTCTGCGAATTCCCAGACCCTGTCAAAGACATGAAAGGCAGTACTCACTGCTGAGACATCTTGCCAGCAAGATGTACTTATGATAGGATCCCTGGTAAGGAAGAAGGAACTCCGAGTCAGCCAATGACATGTAATGAGCCAAAAATTTGGGGCCAGTGTTCGTTACTCCCACAACGCCCTTGGCATCCAACCACTTATCGCTTTCATATGACCCAGCCGAGTACTGGACCTCGAGCATAGTGGTAGGAACTGGCAGGAGCAGGAACCCTCTCTCCGCTTTCTGTGACCCCACCATCCTGCGTGAGGGGAGTCGACACTGATTCCTAGCTGTCGGTCGATACCCGTCATGGATCGCGGACGACCCACAATCAAATAGAGTATACCGCCATTGCCTCAAGCTCACCACAACTGTCTGTCCAGAGAATACTTATCATCGGGTTTGATGATGGCCCTCCGCTGGGGCAGGCTTACAAGTGGGTCTACCCTCCTGTCGCCCAACTCCTTCCCAAAACGTACTCGCATCGAACCTTGTTCAGCGCTGTCAAGGTCTTCTTCACATCCGAGGCTGGTCGATTCTTGAATGTGCCTTCTCCTACCTGACGTTGGACACCGTCTCCAAGCAGGCATGGTGCATTGTCAACCACGGGCTGAGGGTTTCAGTCGATCCAGCCTCATCCACCTTAGCTGCAATGCTATCTTCTTTCCCGCAAGACTGTGTCGATCCTGCTACTCCATCTCTTCGATACATGCGACTTTCTGTGACCTGTATGGTCATGGTAACACCATTCATTCTCTTTTAGTGCTGTTCATGGTTCGTGCCCACCTATCGACGGCTACACGTATGGTTTGGCTCTTTGTATGATCACACGGACCAAAAGCCTATGCTAAAAGCATGGGTCAGCGAATCGTCGAAATGCACGAAAAGTGAAGTAACTTGTACCCCAGAGGACAGATAGCCACTCAAACTTATGGTTGCCCATCATCTAACACTGACAACGCACGACGGCCGCAATTAGGGGCCCTCAAAGCAACTGGTCATGTGCATCTCGGATCGACGGAAGAGTAGTAGGCACGACTGATGTGCTCTACCCGGAGCTCAACAGCAATGCTGCATTTGGTGCAAGCATGATCCATCCATGTCCCTTTACGCTCACCAGTCAAAGAAGAGGTGTCAAAGCTGTGCATCTGACACGGCCAGCTTTAGAAGTGATGAGCCCTCAGCCTTTCCTCCGAGTCTCTGATAGGTCTCATCATCCATTTGCCTGAAAATTGCGATTCTGAAGAAGGAGGCTCTGCAAATTCAGGCAAACGTCTAGCAGAAGAATCTAATCCATAGCGTTTCGCTGCAGTCGGATGGTGGAGGACGCGGGCTGAGCAGCGAAATACTTAATGGACGGGTATCCCCACTCGAGCTCCCTCGCTGAAAGTGCTTTTTGCACTAGATCACTTCTAGCCTATCGGCTTCAATTCCAAGACATTGCGATTTGACTTGATTTCCTATCACCAACTTGGGCCCGTCTCCGAGTCAGTAATTACTGTCTAGCCGCCGTTGGGTAAAGATCGCTGACGAGGCGATCTAGTACCCAGCCATAAGCAACTTGAATAACGTCAAGCCTCAGGTTGGCTAGCCATACTTTCTATGTTACCTTCCCCGGCCTTCTCGTCAAAAGCATGCTCATAGTTTGGGACTATCTACGACTGGCTTATCTGCCCACTGGTAATGCATCAGGTGACAGTTCGATCAGTGGCGATTCCCAGTCAACGGCACATGCTAGTCGGTAAGGGCTAGGATAACTTCGCTGCCGACCATATCCACCAACCATCCACAAGCTAGCACCCGTCTCGGAGAGTGGGGTCATTCCACCTTCGTGAACAACGCATTGGTACCGATGAGAAGCCTATCCTCGCCACCAGCAGGCCTTCCAGGCCTTCCCTCACAGCCAATCGTCATGGGTGTGGGCGTGAAGGGGCTGCAACTGCATGTCTGACAACTCGCTGGACACGTAGATCCCGAAGCAGCAGGCCCGGACAAACCTTGACATGCATATCTTATACTGAAGCTCTCAAGCGTGACAGCAATAAGCGAATCGCAACATCGCGGTAGAAGCAACCCTCGGACCACCCAAGCTGAGTTTGTCAATGATTGCCCCCCACTCCTTGATTCCAACATGGACTTTTGGCCTGGGCCCGATGCGGCTCTGCCGTCCTTTCGGCTATAAGTCCATGAGCTCAAGGGGACTCGAGGGGGAAGGAAACTATCATCGTGCAGAGGGCCTTAGCGTTGAATCCAGTGGATATCTCCTCGCCCACCTACTCCGGTTAGCGGCAGCCATCCCTTCCGAATATTAGCAGCTTCTGCGCCATGTCCAAACCTTCTTCGTCGTCCAAGGTTAGCAATCTATTCACAGCAAACGCGTTCATGGCATGTAGCCACACTCAGACGCTGACCTTTCAAAGGCGCCTTCCACAGTCCCAGGAGTAAACCTGAGCTTCTATGTTCAAATCGACCCTCTCGAACCCAACTATCAAGCGGAGCCAGCTCGACATGGAACACACAACTTCTGGGCCCCACCCCACACCAAGACTGGATATAATCGAAAGCCTGGCATGCTTTTCCGTTGGGGAAGCGGAGTCATAACTCATGTTTCAGCCAATGATACCGTCGGTCGCTCCCTTCACCAGACTTACAGTGCCGCCACTGTGTTCACGCAAAACCCGGATACGCCTCATTTACTTGCCGTTCCTTTCGATGCAGAAACAAAGCATGCGCGTGAAAATCAAGGAGGCTGGAGACCTCTCTTCTTCCGCCACATTCAAAATACCCAACATACATATTCTGCTGTTTCAACGGTCGGTGATCGCCAGCACATCGCTGCCCCAGGCTCGTCTCACTGGATGCCTCAGCTTCTACCTAGAGTCTATGATTATCAGGCTGGAAGCCCTAGGATACAGGCGGGCCTAATCGGAAGCATACCTCTACTCATTGCTCTTGCAGCCTTCTCGGCACCGCCAGATGCGCTTAGGGAGGTGCTCATCAACTGTCTTCGGCCAGGAACATGGCGGCCTCATCGATTTCAGTATCCCGCGGGTCGTAAGTTTGGCAGTTCCATATCCTTTTGCGATCAAGCTCATTTAATTCAGATATTGCCGAGAGAGGCATGGTCGTCACTATCTTCTTCGATCCTGTGAACCCTCAAGGATCTAACGCGGTTATGTTGAATAAGCTTCAAAACGGCGATTTCGGTGCGTTCTACAGTTAGCTTTTGACCTATGGCAGGGTGGTTATGTCGGAAGTTCTGTTTGTCAAGCTTTCCACGAATTTCCTTGTGTACATCTGTCGACCTTCTCCGTGGCAAGAAGATACGTACAGCAAGATCCGTGGTTATCTTTATTTGTCATATTTTTGCTGGCCGTCATCTTTTCGTTCTTGCACAAAGTACACTACGCCGGCGTTTCGTTTCGCGGATGATGTTGTGTCTATGTCTATGAATTAATGAATGACGAGGACCTTTTTGGTACCCTTAATGATACCCGTGGCGATCCATTTCATGGAAACGTTCCTTTATCAGGAGAAGGGCGCTATCATCTTGTTCTGCATGAGTCTAACGAATTGGCTTAAGCTATCATATTTACGCTGACATTGCTGCTTTGCCACACATTGCATCCAGCCAACCTGACGCGCCACGGATCCCAGCTCATTGGACATCACCTGACATTGCTACTTTGTCACTCAATGCATTCAGCCAACCTGGCGCGCCACGCATCCCGATTCATTGGACATCCGGCAACCTAACCGCTATATCCCCAGACTGCGTTATGTATCGGACCCATGGAAGCGAAGGATATTGCAACTAGCGTGCGCGAGATGCGTTAGCGTTACAGCGCCACGACAGAATCAAGACAGCTTCGGCCGGATCTACGGGCCATCGCACCGTTCCGGCCCTCGTGGCTGGCAACACATAGATCTTGCGACCAAGAGGTCCGAAAGGATCAAAAGGATTTAAAGATTACGGGCCACTGCAGGAGATCCTTTGCAAAACCACCTGCAGCGAAACCACCTGCAGCGAAACCTTCTGCAGTGCAGAACGAACGCGCAGCTAATTGCATCACGGGGGGGTTAAAAGAAGCGCGCAAGCAATGAAGCACAGATCGTCAAAAGCGCACGAATGGCGACGGCACTCACCTTCGGCTCTATGATCTTCAGATATCGCACCTGGATCCCACTCGTTGTGAAGTACGGTATCTCGAATTTCACACTGATCGGCCTCTTGCCCTTGCCACCTTGTCCAGCACCTCCCATGCTGCCCCCAAACCCGCCCGTCATGCCACCTCCGTGTTCATCGTCTCCTTTTACTGACGGTAGACCCAGCTCAGCGCGCATGAGGAACTCTTTTCCTCCACCGAATTGCTTGATTTTCCATATTATAGCACTTTTTTCTGGGGCGTAATGGACGCTGCCAATGTTTGTGCGGAAGCGAGGTGAGTCGGCGTCTTCAGGGACAGGGACAAGGATCTCGACGTTGTTGGCTGTGGAGCGGCGTTTGAACTGCGCTCGCGCCTAGAATTTCCTTGTGTCAGCACAGTCCCGGCCAATCCAGTGACCGAGTCTTGATTAGGGCAAGAGTAACCCGACCTTCAATGTGAACTCAATCCTTGACCCCGAATGCGACCTAACATCACTCTCCACCCAAATTAACGGCTTCACCTGCGTATTCAACCGATAACTCATGAGCTCAAATTCTCCGTCCGGCGGTATAAAGCTAATCGTCCTATCATTCTCAAATCTCGAAAGCCGCACACACTGATGAAATTTGACATCCTCCATTTCGACCGCCTTCCCCCTTGTCGCTCTCCCGGTCGTCTCAAACATGACTTTATCGTTCAAACCAAGCCGTAGTTCTGGCATTCCGGAGAGGTAGCATTTCAGTTTTACAGCACCAAGGATCTCGGAGCGCAAGACGTTTCCGGTGGAGGAGACAAGAAGGTTCAAGGATTCGATGACGTCGAGGAAAACTTCGTTTTTGCGATAGCGAATTCCCTCGCTGCGCCAGGAGACGGCGTTGGTGACTGCGATGGGGGGACGGGCTTGGATTTCGAGTTTGTGGGATTCTTGTGTTATGTACCTGCGAGGTTTTACCTCCAGTCAGCGCTTATCAATCGGAAAGGTCCTTCCCCTTCATTTCTTATCCCACTGCCTCGATGTGTATGTAGCAAAGAGGCAAACCCACTCCTGTAAAATCTTGCTCTCCGTCGTCTGCGGATACCCAAAGTCCATCATCTCATCCAGCAGCTCGTATATGATGACGAAGTTATCTCGTATCGATTCCTCCTCCAGTTCTTTGAAATACTCCGTGAACACCTCTACGATTTTGTGAAGGAAGAGGAGTATTTCGGCGGCGTTTGTGTTGCGTTTGGTGAGGGCGAGCAGGTAGAGGTTGTTGTGGCGGATGTAGAGATACTATCGAGCCGTAGCCGAGGAACCATCAGCAGATTCGTTCCAACGTCCATAGCTACGCCTTTGCCGTGAACGTACATTTATACCCTCGTCTGAGAAACAGGGTGGGACGGCGGAGCTCTCTTCTTCGGCTTCGGAGAGGAGGACGGGGAACTTTTCGACGGCGGACATGGGGATGTCGCCTCTGTAGTTCCGGGCTAGGAGGGTCTGGGGAAAGCGTCAGAGCTGCGGTGGTGATACAAAGGGCGGTGGAGAGCTCGCCTTGCCCTTGAGGTCGAGGAAGAAGACTGCGGAGGCCATTGTTGCGGTTGGGTTGGCCTTGCCGGCCGGTGGGTGGTGATTATGAAGTGTCAATGGTCATTTGAGGACAAGTCATTGCTCGTGAGATCGTAAAAAAACCCCGAGGTGGAGACGTTGCGCGGAGAATAGGCATCTTCCCATACTTTGTGAGTATCAACCCACAGCCCAATCGAGCCTAGCCTTCATCAGCCCTATCAAAAAAATCCGTTACCAAAATCTCGACTCTTCTTTTCCCTCTTTTTCTTACAACAACGCGCCCAACAGACAGTGCAAGTCAACATCTTCCGCGACCGAGCTTGGCTTTCTGTCAGGTTCGACTGTGGTATCTCCTTTGCTGAACACTTGCGATTATGGAGGCGCGGAGAAGGATGGATTAGAGGGTTCCATTAAGAACTGGCCGAGTATTTTACGCTGTTGCTTGGGCGGTGTCAGAGGGACCGGACAGATTGGATTTAACGTGGGGGTTTTTGGCATGGGTTATGGAGAGTGAGTGGGCAGAGTGAACGTGTCTTAGCAAGAATGGTATTGGTGGACGGAGGGTAGGAGGGTTTCAGAGAACGGATCTGCATATCAGCCCCAGCTCTGAGAACACTATATTCTACGTTTATTCAAGTCTTGTTATAGAGTCTCTCTTCAGGTCAACTAAATACGCGGAGTCTCCATATCACTGCAGCCCTAATGGCCATAATATCCGCTCTCTCACAACATTATTAGCAACCTCCCCTCCCTTCTGTAATGCAACGGCCCCCACAATTGCATACAGCGCCCGCGATGTCACGATAAGCTGGCCTGACCCTTTGAGATTCGCCATCTAGGAAGTACAACGTTAGCTCCGTTCTATGCGGCTTGTAGACCAGCTCAGCAACGTGAACATACCGTTCTGGGCTTCCACCGTACCACAGTGTTGAGTCCATATTTCTCGGCAAGCTGAGCTGTCCTTCCCGTTCTCAATATCTGCTCTTTACTCTCCGCGCTCACACCGGCTAGGCCGTCCAGTGCTGGATGTCGGAATGGCTCCCGTCCGTACTGATCTTGCGTCTCTGGGAATGGCGTTGCGGAGGAGCTGTGGAAGAGAGTGAGTGATGTTTGTAGTTGCACTATCCTTTTCCCTACCAAGGACAATTTATCAGCGATGCTTGTAGCGACGCACTCGAGCCTTTGTACCTAGAAAAGCCAATCGTTCATTGAACCCTCTTCTCCCATGATCGAAGCTCTTATGCGTAACGGCCAGCCATTTGACCTCGTCTGTAAGCATCTTGTATCCTTCTTTCCCCAACACTCGATTGTAAACATTGTCCAGGCGCTCTGGATCTTCGTTGACGGCGAAATCGTTGTTTGCTACTGGGGGCTTCGAGCGGATGGGCGCCATCATTCTTGGGGGTGTGGACTGCCACCGTGGACCCGTCCTGAGTTCACGGCCTCGATTGCCATATCTTTCTTCCCAGTCTCGGTGCGCGCTGGATGTGGTTAGGTTTCGTGCAGACTTGGGTCGAAGTATTCGAGTGGAAAGTATTGAGGCGCATTGACATGTAGCTCGTCGTCTGAAGGATTTGGCAAATCCTGAGGTGACGTTCACTGATCTGGACATCCTTGATTCCGGTTGAAGCTCAGACTAGACTTCCTCGAAGCTCTGCTGTGGTGTGTGTAAGATGAAGCATCAATCGGAATGAGTTGCGGCGAAACTTTTCTGGGGCTGAAAGTCCGCCTTCTTTTGCACGACGCGAACGCGTCTTTTCCAATTGCTTCTCCTACAGATCATTCATTGCTATGCTTGGAATTCGAATTTTGGATAGAAAACAATGATTGCAAATGGTTATAGTCCAATTCTGGAAGAGCGCCTTGCCAGATCGCTGCCGGACGGTTGTTGCTTCACCATCCATCATCTATCCACCCCCCCTACTGCATGCCCCGCCATATACGCTGCACCACCAAAAGAAGAACCAGAGGAGACCTACTGCGAGAGCCATTTCTTGAGCGTCTCCATTGACTCAGATGGATCTCAATTGCAAGTCTTCGCCATTGAGGTGCTCATTTACACCACCGAGTACCTGACCACGCTCTTCGTCTCCAAAGCCGATTCTACTGGCTATCTCTATCTCCATAAGCTACCGCATGGAACACCGTCACCGCTGAGGATTGTATCTACCACCTTCCTCCAGTACCTTATAGAAGATCGCGAAAGATCAGATCGGCGACTCGTCCTCTCACTCTTTGCGAGAGCGCAGAACCAATACCTCTTTCCTGGCAGCATCGAGAACAACCACAAACATATCCTGGACGACAGAGGTCTGATAAAATGGTGGTGCAAGGTGTTGAATCCGATACTCGGAACTTCTGAGAATGACAGCAATGCTCTAGAAGAAAAGCGTCAGGGCATCATGCGAGATGAACTCGACTTCAGATCGCATGGTTTCCTGAGAGTACCCGGATGCGATACATACGAGACTCAGAGCTTTTTACCCCGAGACGAGTCGGGCCGTATCGCTAAGAAACACCGTTGGCTCACCAAAGATCCTCTCCGCGAGCTTGGCAGATCTCCAGGCTTGCCGGAAAGATGTCTGATACCCCGATTCCCAGATGACCCCAAAGCGCGATTCGTGGAGACGCTGGACGATGAGATTCCGGATGAGGAATCTCAGCTTTCACTCTCACAGACTCCAGCAAGTCCATCGAAGAAGCAGAACAATGGCCGGTGGAGGAGTGTAAAGAGCTTGGAACAATTCTGGGAGATGATGCAATTCAGACAGGAGTGCTCTTCGGGACGGCTTGTCGGCTTTCTGTGGGCCACTTTCCAACCAAATTTACAATGCGCTGGAAGGGAGACGATCGATGATGAAAAGCGCCCCCAGTCGGCATTGCCTACTCCTCTTGATTCTCAAGATGAAGAATGCTCTCGCCTACCGCCTGAATCCCCTCTGCGGTCAAGTCCTGCCCCTGAGCTTCCTCCTTCAACTCCTCAGAAACTCATTTCTCTGGAGCAAACTCCCACGCCAACGCCTGTCAAGCGAAAACAAGCTACTGCCATGCGAGATCTACCGGAAGAAACGACGTACTATTACTGGCCTAAATCTAGTCGGGGTGAAGTGATCCTAAGACAGAAAGACTACCAGCGGGCAGGTAGCCTGCTACTGCGGCTCGACTACGCCGATGAAAAAGTTGGGACAGACAGTACCGGGAAATGGATCAGCGACGTCGCCAAAAGGGCTGGATTGAAGACTTGGGGACGGCATGTGGTGGGAAAGAAAACCACATTAGCGAAAAGAGATCCCATCACAGATGCGAAGCCGGCGATGCTGAATGCAGGACTGATAAGGAAGAAGAAGCGACCAGCTGAGGAGATGAATGGGGGAGCAGTCGAGGCAAGGTCGGAGAGTAAAAGGTCTGGCATCACTACGCTCTCTGGAGGGCTGGTGAGGAAACGGGCGAAGGTTGCTGGCCACATAGGACCGGTGCTTACGGAAGATACTCAAAGCAATGGAAAGACCGAGCCTGGCTGATCAATGGTAATGTCACGCAAGGGCGCATTGACATTCAATCTGACGTTCACCGTTTGTCACCCGCCCAGAATAGCCGTAATAAGTTCAATATGCCAGGCAGCCTTTCTCGAGTCTAGATCCCTTCGATACAAATGAGCGCGCACAGAGAACGACAAGTGCTTGAGCACAGTCACCATTGTACATTGAGCCAGTATCATTAAGGCTTATAAGCCAACCCTTCCATCTCCAAACCCTTGTCCGTTTCTCTCTGAAGCAGTCCGAGACCGAGGGGCCTCTACCGCGCAGCACTTTTGCAGCACATGCTACTTTTAGGGCCCATCATCAAAACCGTTTTACTTAGATTGACGCTTTCTTCATGCACCCTACCTATGTCACTGATTTGCTGGTCTTCCTGCAGGCCACGCTGCTATGCGGCTCAACGTGGCGTGTAGCGTGCAAACCTGCTCAATGAATTCTCATATATATATTCCATTATTACCAAATTTTTATCATGAAATCTCGAACCACTGTCATCAGTATCATAATCAATGCATAGTTTCCCGCCTGCCAAACCGTCTCACATCCAGCAGCCAACTATGGCACCCTTCCGACTTCGAGACCTCCCTGGAGAACTGCGGAACAATATCTACAGCAAAATCCCGCTCTCTGACAAGATGACCTTGCTGAGGACCTCCCGCTCCATCAGTAGCGAAGTTTCCCCGTTCTTCTACGAAGAAGCCACCTACCGAATTTTCGTCAACGTCCATCACCCTTCTTTATACACAAAGCACCCTATAACTAGACCACCTCCTCAGCACATAAAAAAGAAGATCCAGAATCTCGACGTCTATTGGGCGCTCTTCGAGCCCGAAAAGCGAAAGGAAGGCGACATTGAGGCGCTCAGCTGGGACCCGCTCGTTAGTCGAGGACTGTGCCGTGTCTTCTTTGGATGGTGCCCAGGTGTGCCCTGGTTGCCTCTACCCTTTAGAGACAGCGACTTTGAACCATTGAAGACTCTTGCTGGTTTTGAGACCGTGGAGATCCGAGTTGGACTGAAGGCTTTGGGGCGGCCGCACAATCATCATGCACCAAAGAGGGATACAGGCAACACAAGCACAGATTCGGATACCTCGTGTCCAATGATGTTGCCTATGTACGAGGTATTGCGGAATGGACTGGAGTCGGCGTTTGGAGTTGCAGAGCTGAGACAGAACCCGCCGGATCATTACTTGAGATTCGAGCCAGGTAAACATTCAGCGGACGCTGTCGTCAAGTCCTAATCAATGCTTATTGTGATATTCAAAAGAGAGGCTGTGAGCAGAGTATTTGCCTCTTTTGGTAGGCAAAGTTAGTTGGAAGAATCGAGGAATTTGGGCGGAAGAGTAGATCGATCAAGAGAAAGAGCACCAAAAATTCCTTACGAGCTGGGCCTTTAGTATTCGATATATGATTGTATTCAAAGTCATCTGTTACCTGTGGCCGTTCGTTCCACCAGCCCAGACGATGGTGTCATGAACACCGATGTTGACGAAGGCATTTCATGCAAAGCAATAGTTCCCCTCTCTCCTTGCTGGCTCTGCGTTTGCCGCTCATTCTCTATGCGTTGCCTCCTAGTGCTAACCCTCGCCTTGACCCACGGCAGCAGATTGAAGTACCCGCCGCAGATGAAGACACCGGTCCAAAGAGCTAACTCTGTGCCATAGATGGCCATCCCAAGGACGTTGAGTTCCGTCTGAAAAAACACGGATACAAGAGAAAATAAATCGCCCGCAGCATCGATGCCCACGAAGATGAAGCTGATACCTCGCACAGTACGGTGCGTGTAGATGTCCCAGTAGTGGCGAAGAACACCCGCGGCAAGCAAGACTGCTGCAAGTACAGCCATCAACGTCGTGGGCCATGTTACATGCCTTTTAATCGCTGCCTTCAATGCAAATATTAAAGCAACTTCGATCCCTCCCATCAAAGTGCACATCCCTACCAGAATGACTGCGCACTTTATAAGGCTCCAATGCTTCCCGTAATAGTAGCATTGGCTCCATGTTAGTAAGCTTAAAAACGTCAAGATCTGAGCCTGTATCCGTAGCGCGATGTTGAAGCTTTCGGTTATGTTGTAGACGCCTAACGGTACGCCCGCTGAGGCCCAGAGGAGCATCATGGAGGGTTGCAGACCTGTGGTATGATGGCGGCGGTAGTTGATTATGATTTGGGGTATCAGCTAGGGGGATTTGTCATTGTCTTGCTGGGGCACGCTGCGATTGCAGGACGTTGGTACCTGAACGGACCAGCAGATGGCACCAATGGTGCCGAGAATGTTGGCTGCGATTGGGACGTCCATCGTACATTCAGTTTAACACTCGTACGCATGATCCTTAGAATTCGCCTAGAAAATTTTGTCAATCCACTGAGTTGTCTCCAAAACTTTCAATACAACTAGCGGCATTAGCTGCGGCAAGATATCGCGGGTGCTTCTAAACCTCAGCTAACGCTAGTGTATAGTACCGGAGAGCCATTAGATCGACTCAGCCATATTCCCTTAATTAGTAAGAGATTGTAGTAGTAAATAGAGGACCCGTTCTGGCTGATCTTACCGTCTTCCCCATACCTCGCTATTACCCCCCTTTATCCTTTTATCCCTTCCACACCTCGCTATTATTAAATCTTCGCGTATATTATTCTTAATAACCTTAATGTTATACTCTTATCTTATACGCTAGCCTCTATAGTATGAAGGCTTTAAGAATATCTAGAAGAAGCTCGATTAATATAATAATAATCTCGAGAATATTAATCAAGACCGCATCTTAAAGATACTCGAACGAATTTTTATTATTTAAGAAAGAAGATAATAACTTCAGCGATAGCGAGTGAAGTAAGCTTATCTATTCTAACGCGTTTAGATTATTATCACCCCCTCGAAGTTCTCTATCTCCCTTTTCTCTTATAAATATAAAACGTCTATCTCTCTAGACGAGTAAAAAAAATACTTTTAAAAGGATAATAAGCGTAGTAAGTTTATTTTAGTAATACTCTTAAAGCTAGCGTTAATAATATTAAAGTTATTTTATATCTTAGAGACGCGTTAAGCTACTTTCTTATTAGAATAATATAAAAAAACGAGTTTTTACTTAGTAAATAGCTATATTATATTAGATAACGAGCTCTATTTAATAATATAGTATCTAAGAGATTTTAAAGAAGCTTATTAATAATAGATATAATATAGTTAAATTAGAGATATCTCTAGAGTAATATCGTATAAAGAATATAAATTAGATAGCCTCTTAATAAAACTCTTAATAAAACTCTTAATAAAACTCTTAATAAAACTCTTAATAAAACTCTTAATAAAACTCTTAATAAAATTCTTAATAAAATCTCTAATGAAACCCTAGTCTTTTTAATTCTCTTTATAAAAATTATTATCTTAATTACGAAGCTAATATATCATTTTTTCGCTATAATCTAAAATATTTATTATTCTTTATTATTTAAATACTTTATATTTTTATATAAGATATTAACTAAGACGAAGAGAGAAAATAAGATATTTATAAGATTAAGATTTATTAAAATTTCTAAACTATATATAATCTATATATAACTCTCTATAATTATTCTTTTTAAAAATAATTTATTAAATTTAATAATATAGAGAAGAGATTTAATTCGAAGTTCGCTTATTAATTTATTTTTCTAGAAAAAATTATTTAATATAATATTTTTATATCTTAAGTTGACTTAACATTATATCTTTATTTATATTTATTATTAATCTTTATCTACTAAGAGTATTTATATATTATTATCTTATCTTTAATTACTTAATTTATAGCGAAGAACTCGCTATAAAACTTATCTAGATTTATAGATTTATATCTTTTCTTGATATTAAAACTTATTAATACGATACTCTATTAAAGTTATAGTCTAAATAGTAGCTAGAATACTTATTTAAACTTTAAATTTAAAGCCCGTATCTACTCTCTTTCTAAGACGATATTATTATACTATCTCGAAGTATAATATTATCTTTATAAGATAAGTCTAAGATATATCGTATAATGAAATACTAATAGAAATATTAGTAGAAATACTAGTAGAGATATTAGTAGGGATATTAATAGTAATAACGAAGGTAATAGAAGTATTAATAATAGTTAAAGCCTATATAGTAATAGTAATAGACGTCTCCATTATAATAACGTAAAATGATAGAAATTTAATGGTTACTAATGGAGAAGATAATTTTCTCAATTTTTTACGACGTTTCTGACTTAGCCTCAAAAATAGAATTACCGAACGGAATCGTATAGATATTTTTACATATTTTAAATATAAATTAGTGTCATTTTTAAGCCATATTTTCATTTGCCAAGAGGTGGCGTTATTTAGTGAAAATAAGTAGGGGTTTATTTTCAAAATATGTGGTTACCGAACTGGCCCTAAGTGATAGCGAAATCGCTAACGACGATAACGATATCTTCGCGATATCGCGTCTTATTTTTATATAACGCCTATATAAATATGGCGTAGCCACCTTAAAACTATACTAACGGTATTTTATTTAGCATTGGCTGAGGTATAGAAGCACCCGATATCGCGGGTGTTTCCGTAGGGCTGAAATCCACAAATGTAAACAACACGAAGTGACGGTTCTCATATGTTGCACACCGCTGTCTCACTTGTACAAGATTGTTCTGCGATGCCCACCTTCATTATCTGACATTTGACGACCTCAACCTCGTTACCAAAATGTCCGAGATCGCCTCGCCCTCTCCACCGCCCCGTCCCGCCCAACACGTTCAATCCCAACTCCTCCCCTCCTCAATATTCTCAACTCCTTCCTTCAGCTCGACTCTCCCTTTCCCTCGACCCACATCGGCATCTGGCGCGTTCCGTCGCTCTTCGCTGTTGAAGAAGGGGCGTCTGGGGTCATCCCAGCATCGGCGACGCACGCGCTCAGTCGCATCGTCTGCGTCGCATTCGAGTGATGGAAGCTTAGGAGACTTCAGTATGGAGAATTACACAATCGATCTTGCGCAGTTGGGGAGGAAAGAAACGGCGGCACCTCCAGTGGGATTCGAACAGGCATTTCAGCGAGATCGAAGTGAAAATGAGCAAAAACCTAAGCAGCCTCAGGAGCCAGCAGCTCAGACGCAGCAGGAAGAAACCGACGAGGAGGAGGCAGAGGATCTATTGGGTGACTACACGATTGATTTAGGAGGCCTGGGAGATAAGCCAAGTAGTATGGTGGTCGGAGACGTGGAGAAAGAGAGGGACGAGGTTAGTAGTGAGGATGAAGGGCCCGAAGATTTCACCGTGAATATGGAGAAGTGGATGAGAGGTGGCGAAAAGTGGAAGAAGGAGCGACGTGACGAAACTCTTGACGAGGGTGACGAGGCGAACGAAGATCCGCAGGACTATACCCAGGAAGTCAGAGTAGACCGGGGGCTACCCGAAGAGAGTGTATTTGAGCCGCTTGGAACATCTACGCCTGCACCATTGAAGAATCATGCCATCATTGAAGAAGGTGTGCAAGAGGAAGCTAGAATTCAAGCTCCTCCACTGTCCCGGATGAATACCGAGATGCTCCAGGATCAGGCTGCAGAGGAAGTATTTGAGCGCATCTCGGCGCTGCAGGCGGAAGTGGAGAGAATGCGCGTTGAAGATGAGGAGCGTCGCTTGGCGTATCACGAAATCGAGCAAGAAAACGAATTACTTAGAAATGACAGAGTGGAATTACTAGAGCGTCACCAAGCCGAGGAAGAGTTGCTGAAAAAGCAGCACTCACAGCTAAGGGATCATTGGAAGGAGCAGCTCAGACTCAAGGAACAAGAACTGACCGCCCCTAATACTCCCAAAGTGGCGTCACTGAGGGCGAAGTTCGAGCCCGCAATCCAAGAGTTGGCCGCTGTCAAAGCAGACGCGGAGACCAATAAAATCGCAGCCAACGACATGATCAAGGCTCTTGAAGCACAGCTACATGCGGCTCGAGAGGAATTAAAAGAGCACCAAGACGCTAAGGCCTCTAGGAATGCAGCAGACGACAGGATTAAGGCTCTTGAAGAACAGCTACAGGCGGCCCGAGATGAGACGAGACGGTACCAGAATCAAATACCATTAATCCAGGAAGCCAACGCGGCTACCGTCAAAAGCCTGCGCGCAGACCTTGAGACCAAGAACAACGAGATTGCGCTTGAGCGAAAAGAGTCCATCCACCGCGGCAACGAAGCGGCCTCGCTGACCGAGAGCATCGACCAAAAGGACCAAGAATTGCGAACGCTCAAAAGCGAACTCAAAGCCATGAAGATGGAACTCGACCATGCGCACGAGCAGCTTGCAGAGACACGACGTATCGTTGAAACAGTAGAACATGAGAATGACCGTCTAGTGCAGCAAAATGAACGGCAGGCCCGGGACATTGCGGACTTGGAAGAACGCATCAACAGCCAAGACGTTAATGAAGCAACCGCAGAGCCGGTCAATGAGAAGCGTGGTTACCCTGGACCCGAACATATGGAGGCCACCAGCATTGACGAAGCATCTCACAAAGATGCTCTCAAAAGAATCGAGCAACATGAGAGCATGCTTTCTTCGCTGAAAGCCACGCACGCCAAAGAGCTACGGACTCTGCGCTCCGCCCTTCTGAAGGCTGGTGAAGGCATGCAGAAGCGCGAAGCACGTCTCACAAACGCTCACAGCGAAGAGGTAGTCTCCCTGAACCAGCGGATTGAAACACTTCAAAACCAACAGACTGAACCCTCTAAGCTGGCTGACCCGTCTATGGAGAACGAACTTCGTTCTGCTGTTCGTGTGTTGAATACGAAACTCGAAAAGGCTAATGCTGCACTCATAGCATCTAAAGCAGAGGCAGAGGAAGCGCAGCAGGCAGCTGAAGATGCACAGAAAACGAACGCCATCGTCAACGCTGAGCTAGAAGCACGTTTTGCGGAGGCGGTGGAGGACAGAGAGAGAGAATGGAGACGGAGGGTGCAAATCCTATTCCGAGAACGAGAGAAGATGGGTAAGGCGCTGATGTGGGGGTGGGGAAGGGAAGAAGAGGGTGCGAAAGGGTCAACGGACCGAGAGCAACCGTATCGGTATAGGTTCGTGACGAAGTGACGATGTGCAATGTAGCAGATCCAAATCCAAAAATCTGCGTGCAACGTTTCGGAGGAATCTATTCTGCTTTTAAGACACCTCTTGAGCATACGTTGATTCAACACTCAAGACACCTACCTATGACCGAACCACGAACTTCGTGAAGCCATAATCTTCAGCTCAGTCCATGGGAAAAACTTCGTTCCCACGACGCCACAAAGCTCCTCTTCTTCTCAACCATCAGCTACCCAGCTTTTCACTCGCCATCCTCGCCCCCTCAACGCTCGCCCTAATCTTCCTCATCGCCACCTCCCTCGCAAAATCCGGACTCCCACGCTTCGGCTTCGCATCAACACTAAAAGGACTAAACCCACAATCATCCGTCGCCCCCAACTGATCCTTTTCGATCCACCTACTCGCCTCCTCCAAATCCCCCGCCACCTGCTCCGGACTCTCCACCTCCGGATTCAGCGGGTTCGTCACCCCGATGAACGCAACTTGTTTCACGTCCTCGGCATCGCGACGGATGGATCGTCCGATGTGCTTGCAGATGCTCGGTTTATCCCTCTCGGACGCGGGCTGGATGAGGAAGTAGCCGGCGTGCATGGCGAAGAGGGAGGGGAGGAGGTTGCGGTAGGGGACCTCGTGGGAATGGACGGGGTCGCAGTCGCCGCCGGGGCGGGTGTGGATGCCGATGTTGGCGCGTTCGGGGGCGGAGAAGCGGGCCAGGACGCGGTTGTTGAGGTCGATGAAGGTGCGGAGCAACGAGGCGCCGGTCCATGCACCCTTGTTCAAATAAAGAACCGAGAAGAGTCGGGGACAGGGGAAACGTACGAAATACTGCCCGTCCGCCCGCCAAATTATCCGCCAACCCTTTCCCACCCAGCGTGTCAATGATTGGGCAGGTCGCGAACGAGCTGGCGCGCTGCTCGCCGTCTGTCACGAGTGTCTCGCCCGTCTGCGAAACATTCGTAGTCTGCGTAGGCTTGTTGGAGGTCCGGCTGTGATTTTAGCGGTGGCTTATGAACTGGGAGAGAAGGACGCTAGGGTGGAGTAGATGCTGAGGTGGTGAGAACGAAGACTTGTACATTGTGGACGAGGCAGGGAGCCTACTACTTCGGTGGGGATGGGCATTTTGTTAGGGTGCGAGTTGTATTTGTTAGTGGAGGCTTGAAAAGATGCATAGAGTTGGATGACTGTCAATGACAATGAAGTATATGCTGGTAACTAGACCCTGCTCTTGGACTACTCATCGGAAGAAGCCACTTATCCTTCCAAATAAGAATGACTGCGATTCTCGTGGCGCCAGAGCGAAAGGTCCTTGGCAGGCGCTGCATCGATACACAATTGCTGCTTTGCCTCCTCCAGATGTGTAGTGGATTGATGGTGGTGGCGCAGTGCGGAAGACTTCCACCGTTGTCGAAGAGAGACCACCCACTTCCATTTCTTCCAAGCTGCCCTGCCCATCTCCTTCTCCCTCCTTCTATTCTGCCTTGACTCTTCTGCTTTGGTGATGATGAGCATAAGACTGGCCTTCAACTCGTTCAAGTCCGCGACAGACTGCAGGATCTCCCGTGATTTGGAGTGCCACATTAAGCGTCCTAGCATGGAGAATTTGAAAGTGAGAGTGTTGTGAGGAATGACCGCAGTACCGCCGCTTTCGTCAACGGCATCAGGCAAGGCCACTCGTCCCATCTTTGCAAATGAAATGACGATAGGACGGAAGATTGTGTCACACTGCTGGACAATACGATGGATATTGCGACAGTCCTCGTCGGTGAAAAGGCGGTCACCTGAAGCTTTCAGGTCTTCATCCAATAGTGTCTGCAGTGCTGTCAGACCGCGGGCAAGTTTGCGGAGCTCGGCGGCGATGTGCTGAACCTTTTCGTCGGCGGTCCTCGCATTCTCGATTGCTTTTTCTAATAATCCAGCGAGCTGTATTGCTAGGCTGACGATCCCCGCGAAGTTGGCAATGATACCAATGACTACCAAGGCTTCCATAGCTCTAAATAGGCAGAGAGCATTTATTCTTTGAGATTGTGTTGACTGTATTTACCACTTGTATACTGCTTGTCAATAACTCGACGATAACATGAAGCTGGGATTGGATACGAGGTCGGGAATTTTATAAAGACCTGAAGAGTACTGGAAATTGGAGGACATTGTGGAGAGAGAGTAGCATCAAGCAAAGACTACGCCACTCAGTACACGCAAACGTGGCGGTTCCAATAGAGAGTCATAGCAGTGACTAGCAGCCTCGAAGGCGCATTAACCGCTTTGTCGTCTAGAATGACCGGCTTTCTTGTCAGATCACCTACTGACACGGTGTGGGCACTGGACATGGACATGATTTCAGTTAGGGATGACTTTTTGCCGGTAACTCCGTGGTTGAGTGGCGATCCGGTGGTACTCCGTACCGGATGTTTGCGGTTCGAGATTCTGGATTTGGCTCGCAAATTCAGGCCGTGTGGGTGGGTAAGCACAGCCTCAGCTGCTGCTCCACAGAGACATCGATGCGGAACGATTCTACCATCAGTCCATCGGGCGCACTGCCAGAGAAAGTGGCAGTTGCAGTCGTAGCGAAGTCTTGAACATTGACCATATGAGCACGAAGTACGAGGATTATGAGCCATGAATAAATCTGTTTGGACTGTTTCTGTACGACCGTTAGATTTTCTTGCCTTTTTACCCATGAATGCGTCAAATCTGGCTAATTCCCATACCTAGGACTGCCACTTTTTCTGGCAACTTGCCTGGAATGTCTTCGTTGGCTTACCAAGAGTCTACAAGAGCAGACAGAGACTACGATCTCAAGGGTGTATCAAGACCCACATAGATGGCAGAGATCAGTCCTACCTTCATCAGCCGAGCTTTGTGCGATATTACGCCGCACCAAGTCTCAAAGCTTAGAAGCTTCGGTTTTGACCAATCCACCATTTTCCACCTGGTATTCTTTCCCTCTCTTCCAGCCCGTCCAACCTTTCAAGACCTCTTCACCACCGGCCCCAGGCGAGAGGTTGGGACTACTCCATGCCTCTGTTTGAGGTATGGGCAGACCCGGTGATCCCATGAGGCCAACCGCAGATCTCTGCTCATACCCTTGCTCCTCGAGCTCAATTTGTGAGAGTACGGGTGTGCAACATGCATCTTTTCCCGCAAAAAGGAGCTCCCATTCTTGCCGTGTATTCTCCAAGAAGCGTTCACGGAAAGTTTTCCTGAGGGTTGGCCACGTAGTGCGGTCGTTCCGCGTAGTCATGAGCTCTTGTTCGATGTTCAGTCCCTTCAGAAGTTCCCCGAAAAAACTATCCTCCAGAGCCCCCACAGCCATGTAACCGCCATTCTTACATTCATAGACCTCGTACCACGGACATCCACCATCCAACATATTCTCTCCCCTTGGCCTATCCCCCAGCGGTGTTTTTGTCAAAAATCTAGAGAACGTTCCCAGGTAGGCACTACCATCCACCATGTTTGCTTCCACTATCTGGCCCTTTCCCGTCTGCGTCCGACTCACCAACGCAGCTAGGATACCAAAGGCGCACATCAGTCCTCCACCTGCGAAATCTGCAATTATATTGGCGGGAAAAGAGGGTGGCGCATTGGCTCGTCCGAGTTGGGACAGGAGGCCCGAGACGGCGAGGTAATTGATGTCGTGTCCAGCCATTGGTGCGTAGGGGCCATCTCGGCGGAAGCCAGTGAGGCGGGCAATGATGAGGCGAGGGTTCACGATGAGCAAATCCTTTGGATGGAGACCAATTGACTCCAGCACTCCTGGGCGAAATGGGTCGATGAGGATATCGGCATGATTCAGTAGGGATCTGAGAAGGGCAAGGCCGTTGGGGGATTTGAGGTCTAAAGCTATCGAGGACTTGTGGCGACTAAGAGAATCAGACGTTGGAGGTGGAGGGTTCAGGGTATGGGCTTGAGGGTGAGCCCGATCAATGCGGAGAACAGAGGCGCCATAATCGGCGAGGAGAAGGCAGGCAAAAGGGCCTTGGGGCGCGGTTAGAAAGAAGGTTGGTGATGATACTGGATAGTTGGTAAGTACCTGGAGCCAAACCGGCGAGCTCAATGACTCGAAGGCCGGTTAAGGGTGGTGGAGAGGTTGCCATGAAGTGGGTGGGGACAGCCTCTTTGGCGTTTTCACCGGCTCTAGAGTCTGGCACAAGGCTGCGGAAAGGCACGTGATTTGGTCTTGGCGCTTGGACAGGTCAGGCTGGAGACTCTGCACCATTCAGTCTCATCTTCTCTCTCTTCCTTTCACTGACCTTACAAGCTGTCGAACTCATAGTGGCTTCCCATCCTAGTAACCCATTTCATTCTCGTTCCTTAATCGAGACATCTTAGCTAACTTTGTGCCTTCTGACTTGTTGCCTTTCTGTCAATCTTGAAAGCGTTGAAGCGATTTCTTTGACTCGTGCCGCAGCCTGGTCGTACGATCTACTTTTGCGGGAAAGCTTCGATGAAGCATAGTGGGCGGTTGAGGGTCGCAACCCTCCATGTTGGTCACCGAAGAACCTTAGATGCAACCTCGCACGGGTCATTTAACACGCCTCACCTAAGACGGCCAAACTCAGCGTCAGATGGTTCCTCTTGATACGTTGGTGACAGAACCGCTGCAAAAGACCCCAAAATGTTTCATCTGTGCAGAAGATCTGCCTATAAGCTTTCCTGAATGTTTAGGGCCGCCCTACATCCAGTATTGCAAGTTATATCAGTCAAGCACTATGTCTCCCGTAAAGTTTTTGCTCCATCCTTGCTTTCTGAATCATCGCACTGTCTTCTTCCTGGCTAGACTGTTTCTTTCATCACTTTCAGAACGAAGACTACTATCTTCAGCCTTTTGGTTGCCGCAAGCTCGGCTGGGCAATTTCTTGCACAACTCCCTCAGACTCTTACCACTGATCCCGAGATCTCGGGAAAACTTATCTATGTGCCGTCTCTAGGATCCACGTCTAGCGTTGCAGCGCCTGTTGCTGTTCCCAGTCTCGGTTACAATTGCTACAATCTGCCTCTGGTTTGCGAAAGCATTGGAAGCTGGGCTAGAACAGTGCACCCGAGCGGAAACGGCGATCTAAGTCAGGCTCAGATATTCTATTTTGACCCGGATGAGGCCCACGAAGACAGACGTCGTGAAGTCGCCTGTGGGTGTGTCCATCATGACGGGTGTTTAAACGCAGTGTCAAATGGTAAACAAGCCGGAGAGAACGTGCGAACTATAGCGAGGGGTGGCGGGAATGTCAATGTGCTCTCTGACATATCTTTCTCGAACTTCAAAATCATATTAGCTGGCATAAACCCCCCCAGAAATCCTACAACAGGGCAGTCGACGACCCCGCAGCTGTCTCTGGATAGCATACCAGGACGACTCTTTGCAGAGGGCGTGGCGTTCAGCTGCGATGAAATTCCCGCCGCAACGGTTATCAATGGTGGAATGAACGCCAAGACTAGCTGCGCTCTACAGAGCTGGTAGATATTTTCCGGGGCAGATGTGGAGTCCGTGAACAGGGCGGGCACTTGGCCCAACACGGGGAAATGGCCTCTTCCGCCCGGAAGCGGGATCAGGATGGAGCAGGATTGCTAGCTCACTCTCGGTTCGTTGAACTGTACGTTACCACAATCACAGGCACTCTACACCTGCATGGTAATGAATCATCCATAGTTGCGTTAGATCTGTTCCATCATTCCCACAGCAGTAGTCCACTGAGGAGAACATTTTCCGTATCGATCAGCATGCTAACACAAGCCTCTTCAGCCGCTGATGCCTCTGTTGATGCGTCTACGGCCCGTGATGAAGGGCAAAGATGCTGAAGAGCTGGTATGTATGATTCTTCGACTCCTGAAATTTAAGACAGACTTGAGTCAAATATCGTCCACACAGTTTTCGGATCTTGAAGAGGTAGCCCAAGATGCCCACAAGGTCAAAGAAGAAGGGAAAAATGACGACGACGATGAAACAACGACGACTTCAACGACTTCAACAACCAGCACAACATCAACAAGCGAAAATTCTCAGACAGAAACTGCCAGTGTCAAGCAGATCCCCAAACGTCAGCGCCACGTTACAGTTCACTTTTCGATTCGATGCTCTGTTGGGCGCCATGTTTGGTTACGACATCAAGGTCATTCTGCGATTTAGGTTTGCTCGCTCGAGCTTTACGGAACCGCGAATCCGCGCATTCGCCCAATCCCCCACTTCCCACGGTTCAAACCTTCGCACGGTTCCGTAACGTGCTTCCTCACAAGGGATGAATTGTCTCTACCTACAAAACACACCGCAGCAGCTCTTCAGTTCACAGACTTCGAGATCCAGAACCCTGCAATTGATCTCCGTTCCCGGAATAGACACATATCAAATCTCTCACCGCTTACTCTAGTTCTTCCAGAACGATTGCTGGAAAAAGGTCCGTCACATGGAGTCAGCTCAGGAAAGAAAGTTATCCTGCATGCGCTTGAAAAACACACAGTATCAGAGGGAATGCCAGGCTCGGTCTTGAGCGAGCACTTTGTTCAAGTATCCTGCGCTAGTCTATCTACTTCAAACATCGATTAGAGAGCGATTGGCCGGCCAAGATGAGAAGGGCACATGATACAAAAACCACTGCTACAGTACACAGCGCGCGATCCTTGCAGTACACGACAGTGCCATTGCGAAGATATTGGAAAGACGGTTTTGTTTCCCACAGCGAGCCCGAAATGTCACGAGCAGATGCCCTGTTTCAATACATCCAGACCATTCGCAGTCTCACCGGTCCAGCTGCCGAACGAGACCTTTCCAATAGAAGCCGGACACCGGCCGATTTCCTCACCAAAACGCGCAACAGTATCGTGTTGATAAAGTGGTATTGAAACGTGAACGGCTACTTCGAGAAAAGGCTCGTACAAGAAGCACAAATCTGTTCAAGAAAGCAAACAAGCTGGCGCGGATGACCACCTCGAAAACATGAATGGTTTTCCAATGTAACGACAGATGATGTAAATCAACGAAAGGTTTGAACTCGCCTCCCCTCGCAAGAAGTCTAGGCGCGCATGACGGCCGATGCTCAAGACATGCCAATTAAGAAACTGTCCTGATTCTCTATCAAGAAGACGAGCACATCCTGACTGAGCCGACGGGACTTCTCTTCTTCAATAAAGCCATCACCGGCCTCCACGGGCGAAAGGATTGTGGGTTGAAAGACTGCAGCAAGGCGCGCCGAGGTCATCTTGTTGATTTCCGCTTTTGAGGCGAAGACGGCCAGGAGATCCATCAGGTACAGGAGTAGCTGTCGCGATAGAGGAGGCAGAAGTGTGATTTGCTTTTGATATTCAGAGATCGACGATTCCTGGTTGAAGGGTAACGTGGAAGGACCTCCTTGATGTGGTTTTAGCGGATCTTGGAAAGCTTCATACATTTTGACTGGGATGATTGACTCCGGAAGCCGCAGAAGAAATCTTAGTAGGATTGCCGCCGCATCGTGTACTGTGTATCCGGTCCAGTCAAAGCCTTTCCCATAACCTGGTGGCTCGTTGAAGGCGGCCTCAAGCTTCTGCAAACGGAGTGCAGAACCGCTGACGCAAAAGATATCCTCCACGTCGGTTGCTAGATAAAAATTATCAACACCCAATCGGACCCTTTGAATAGAAAGCAGAGTGGTAGCCGCGGCAAATTCTAGGGCAGGCAAAGGGCGAGTGGAGAACAGACCTTTTTCCTTGAGGAAAACTCCAATCTTAGCCACGAATATCGGGACGTAGCCATATACGTAAGTCTCGCCTGTCTCATTGGTGAGGGAAATAGCAACATTGGCAAATTTAATACTCTCGTACAGCGAGACACCCAATATGTGAGTCTCTGGCTTCGACGAGATCTCCGGCTTGGAGGTTTTCTTTCGCCGTTGACGCCAAACCGCAGAAGCAAACCCATCCCATTTATTAGGCTTCGGTATCGCAGCGACTGACCGGGTAGTTGGGCGCTGTCCCCGGTTTTCTAGAGGTTCCGGATCGAAATCTCCAAATGTATACCGGCGACTGTTACTGATCTCGTGGGCATAGATTGGTACTGCCAGGACTGAGATATTGGAGACATCAGTCAGACTAAGCGCAGATAATATAGATGAGGCCGTCGTCCTAGCAGCAGACGTCACGAGCGACTCCCCAGAGTCACTAAACAGGGGTTTGCGATATACACGAGATGCCAGCAGATCTTCTTCAAATGCGAAACCGAATTGATTTCGCTGCATCCCTTGCGGTAAGTTGACCAAAGGAGGAGTGGCTGTCCTACTCGATGTCGTGCTGGCATCGTCGTCGACTTTCGCTGCTGTTGGTGTAGCTGTGTCCGTGGTTTTATCGTCCAAATTCCTAAGACGCAGGCTCATCTCTTGGTTACTTGCCAGTACCTGCTGCACAAGGTCACACAAGTGTGTCATTGCAGATTCTGCCTCTTCCATAGACTTGCTATGCAGGGGTCAACACGAGTATTTAGAAGAATCCCACAACTTTGGTCATGAACAGGGATCGCAAACCATTGCAGAATAGTTAGCATCAGAGTCAACGAAGCTTTATTGCTCTGTAGTCTCCCCTGTACATCAGATATCTTCGATTCCTTCATGGCCCATCTCACACGGTCAAGCGTGCCCATTCCGGCGTCATTTTTTGAGGTACCGAGGACGTCCTCGAGCTCGGAGAAGGTAGTCACGCACTCTGTCAAGGTCACAATGACTTGTTCCACCAGGATAAGGGAGGCTCGTGATTTTGATAGGCTCGCGGCGCCCAGGAGGTAGGTTTGCAAATGAGTGAGAATAGCGCTTAGGCCGTTGACTTCGTTAAGCACTGCCTGAGCAAGCTTCGGGGCTGCCCTTGTGCTTTGCACAAAGGATATCAACACGGACGAAACTTTGGCTGCTGCTCCTAGTACACCAATTATAGATGCTGATACAGAGAGTGGATCCATTAGGTGTGGACTCTTGAAGAGTCCAGGCCTTTCAACGTAGACTGAAGCAGGGGCTCATTCATAGAAAGCGGCCTCATAAATACTGCACATAGATCAAAGTATGCGTACAATGGTGGACAGGCTTCAAGACCTTTCTGTGGATTGGCTCAAGGCTTCGGTTTTGGAGAGTGGCATATGTGCTAGGAGGATGCCGATGACGATTGGCATTGAGCCTTTCCGAAGCCGAGGCGATCCCAGGTTCTGTCGATTTCGGGGTGTATAATGTATATATATTCACGATGTTGATAGAATGTACCGATCTGCTGCTTGCCGGCCTGGGCTCATGAAACCAATACCTCCACAAATAAGATAGCGCCGTCAGATGCTCTACAAGCTATTTTCTGAACCTCTTTGACTTGTGATGTCTTTGCGAGAGCCCAAGAACAGTTTGTGCCGAGAGACATTTAGCACGAATACAACATAGGTAGGGTGGGGAACATGCATCGGTGCCTAGACATTTGCACGCGCTAAATCCTTATCGGAGTAAGCGTAATGCAGATAAGGATTCAGCCCTATGACTTTCCCATCACCCATCATCCACGTCAATGCCTCTTACCGTAAAGGTGTCTTTCCTCCAATGTTGCCTCATTCAAATGACATCTATCGTACTCGAAGCAGCCGCATTTTCACTTGAAAATCTTTCAACCTTTCTATCATACCGAAATTCCATCGTGCTTCTCCGATATCAGCAAGAGAGAGGAAGACTGTGCTATCTAAGCGCAATGCAGTGATTGGCACCAATGCATAGAGAGTACTGACGTATTTCAACCGAGCGTTAGCGAAGAAAGCAATACATACCCATTGATTCAGCTCAAACCTGAAGGAAACATACTCCTTTGTCTGATGTCTTTTCAAAGTCATAATAATGTCGTCCAATCCGTCACCAGAGAGCGTCGCCTCAGGCAACACCGCGGATCCTGGGATAGCACCCCGCCAAGTCGTCCAACGAGCAGATGGCACAGATGTCGAACTCGTCAGCTTTCCTCCGGGAGACCCTAAAAATCCGCGTAACTGGCCGACATGGCGGAAATGGTCCATCGTGATCGCGATCACGCTCATTGATCTCACAGTCAGCTTCACAGCGTCTGGGTTTTCGCCTGCAGCTGAGAAGTTCGCCAAGGACTTCGGGGTGTCAGGTGAAGTCGGAACGTTGGGATTGAGCCTGTGTGTACTAGGATTTGCGTTAGGGCCGATGACTTTGGCGCCGCTGTCCGAGTATGAAATTTCCCATTCCCTTGTCGTACCAACAACAATGCACCGAAATCCTACTGAACAAGATTGTGCGCAGGTATTATGGACGATCTCCTATTTACATCATCTCCTACGGCGTCTTCCTGTTCTTTGTACTCGGTACCGCCCTCGTCCACAATCTGGGTGGCTTTCTAGTCCTGCGATTCCTATCTGGATGGTTCTCTGCTGTGACGATAGCCAACTTCGGAGGAACAATTGCGGACATATTTGAACCGCACGAAACAGGACCAGCTATGAGTCTTTTTTTGTGGGCGGCTACGGTAGGGTCTCCGTTAGGCTACTTCCTCTTCTCTTGCATTGCGCAGTACAAAGGTTGGAGAGATATTTTCTGGGCTCTGCTCGGAATATGTGGCGGCCTCTGGTTGATCATGACTGCGACGCTGAAGGAGACGAGACACAGTGTATTGCTTCTTCGGCGTGCAGCCCGTGAGAGAAAGCAAAGAGGTACAGATGCTATTGAAGTCCCAGATTCGATGAAGCAGAGAGGACCGCGGAAGTTGTTCAAGACAGCGCTCTTGAGACCGTTCAGGTTTCTCTTCACAGAAGCCATCATTTTCTTTGGAGCGTTATACAATGGCTATCTCTATGGGCTCAGCTTCCTCTTCAATGGTGCTTTCTCATTAGTGTTCGGGATGGGAGGCCATGGGTTCGATGTCCTTGGTGTTGGACTTACATTTCTCGGGATCGTCGTGGGCATCAGCATTGGCCCAATCACAAATATCTGGCAAGAACGATATTACCAGCGGAGAATTGCGCAGGTGGGCGGTAAGAACGTGCCAGAGGCACGTGTACAGTTGGGTCGAATAGCCGGAATTAGTGAGTGATCGTTCAACGTTCTAGTTGTCCCTTGCTAAAACAGCAGCCTTTCCTATATCGCTGTTTTGGTTCGCATGGACTTCTTACAAAAACGTACACTGGATTGTCCCGATAATAGCATCCGCGCTATGGGGATGGTCCTTCTATACCTTGATCTTGATGACGTACAACTACACTGAAGACTCATACAAAGCAAGTCAATTCCATCCTCGAGGCCCGATAGGCAACAAGGATCTTCTGACCGACATCTTCAGGTCTTCAGCGCCTCCGCACTCGCAGGCCTCGGCCTTGTCCGCAACGTAGCGGGTGCTGGCTTTCCGTTATTTGGACAGCAGATGTTTAGCTCTCTAGGAAATCAATGGGCTGCTAGTCTTCTTGCATTTTTGGCCGTACTTCTGGTCCCAATTCCTTTTATACTTGAAAAATATGGACGGGCGTTAAGATTCAGAAGCCCTTGGGCGAAGCAGCACATGGATGACTTGACGGAGGAGGAGGGATCTTGTATGCCGAAAGATCCTGGGAGCGAATCCTGAAGATTTCGTTGAGGCTCAGCAAAGCTGCTCCTTGGTAATCTAGGCTGTGAATGCACCTGACGCGCATCGCTGCTGTCGTAAGTCAATTTCTGATTGGGACTCGCGAACCTCGTGGATACAAGAAACTGGCTCTTCGCTTTGATAGGCATGTAATCTAACGCACTTACCAAGACATTTGGGCCGGATCACTAACACAGCTGTTCTCAATCACCGAAGTCATCAGATTTCTTTTGTGGCAAAAATGGTGGGGACATCCTGCCACAAACATACTGACCATGAACCTAGAGATCTGTTATAATTTTGCTGCCTTACTGGTGGCTTACCGGGCCTCCTCAACCTCGAGGAAGGCTGCCCTGTGCCGCAGAGGACTTTGTGTGGGTGTGTCTATGCGATCTTGCGCGATACGATCAAAATCCAATTTTATCGTTTATGCGATGCTCCTCCTGTAAGAACACAGACCCAGGGCGTGGATCGTGCCGCTTCATCAGCCGCCGACGCGAAGACTTGAGCGCATGATTGATTTAAGCAGCATTCAAAGTCCCCTGAGACTTCGACAAGCTTAAATCTTTACCACAACGTTCCTCTCCTCAACTCTGCTCCCTCTGATCGAATGGCTGAAAAATCTCTTAGCGTGACAAAAGCCATTGGAAGTCCTTGCGTACAGTAGCGCAGTTCTCCGCTACTCAAGAAACGGGAGCAAGGAATAATGGCTGCATCTATCCTTTTATTGGTGATGGGAATTCTACATTTCGCCCATGGCTTGGTCGAATATGTCGTCTATCCTGCTGATAAGAAGGCCATGTTAGCATGCTCGCACATCAATGACGCACTTGTCAAGATACTCGGCGGCAGCAGAGTACGAATTTACAAGAGCCAAATCAGACAAACTACGGAGTTCTGGTTCATCGAAGCCCTTGAAGCTCAAAAAGTAGCCATTTTGCAGATTCCAGGAGTGCGTACCCTCTCTCACACTGAGCATAATTATAATGACAGCTTCTAGGTGGATGCCGTTATGGAAAACGTGATAGTCGCTCAGAACTCTGGAGAAAGCTTTAAAGATACCTCGGTGTTCATGACTGCCAATAGCACAGGGTCAAATCAAGCGATTCCAGAGCTCAAACTACCTCTTCGAAGGCAACGGGACGCGCCTCAAGATTTAGATCTCGTGTCTTGGCCGCCTCGCAAACGACTTCCCGTCCTTGGCAAAATGCCATGCTACGTATACGACATTGCCAGGGGTATAGACACGTACATTTACATCATAGAAAATGGTATCAATAAGGATAACGATGTCAGAACCCAATCTTGACGACCACCGCATTATTCTCTAATATGACTCTAGGAATTCGAATCGATGCCATGGCCGCCAGAGTCCGACGAGTGGCACTACGCCTACGGTGTCCATGACAGCACCACGGATGATAATCTAGCTGGACAAGGGTCATGCGTAGCATCGAAAGCCGCTGGGTGGAAAACGGGTGTTTCGAAGAACTCCCAGTTGGTCGTGATGAAGTCCTTACCGACGCTAGCGGACGTGAACTTCGCTTTCGCCGCAGCCTTGGACGATATCATGGAGAAAGATCGTCAGGGCAGAGCCGTGGTCGTCTATCCCGCAACGTCGATACAGACATTCGGCGCTGGTTCCGTGTTGCCGAGGAATTGGAAATCGGTGAATGAGCTCATCCAGGAGCTTTTCGCCCAGGACGTTGTCGTAGTGACTGGATCCGGCAACAACGCCGCACGCTCTTCAGCATTGGACACAGTTCCAGCGCTTTGGGGCTTGGAACCAGACTACCCCTTGATAGTCGCCGGGGCTGTAAGAATAGACGGGACAATCGCGAGATTCTCGCAGGGCGCGGGGGCTTTGTCAGAGATCGTTTGGGCGCCAGGAGAGAGTATCGTTTGTGCCAATGGACCGTCATCCCCAGGCTTAGCGGACAGAAGCGGTACTTCGTTCGCCGCTGCAATGGTAAGCACCGTCCTTGTGCGTCTGCCCAATTCAAAGATTATCATCTTAACAAGGACCTTCAGGTTGCAGGACTTGCCGCATACGAATTGACGGGGCCCGACCCCCTCCCTCCGGGATCAGTACCTAGCATCATCCGCACCAGGCTCCTTGCCAACAGTAGGCCGGTTTCTCCGTTGACAGTACCAAAAGTCATTTGGAATGGACAGAATGGGGCGCTCAATGCACTGCTGAATAATTCGACCTCGCAATCTGTGCTTCAACTTGTGCAGGAAATGCCGAACGCGACGCTCATTTCTGGCATTACGAACTTGACGGAGGGACAAGCGTCAGTAGCATGATGTTCTGGTGACCGAGGAGTCGACTCCAAGTAGTCCATTAAGATAGCGAGGTGGTAAGTGGATCGGTATAATCAGAGCACTGGAGGAAGGGGCAACGCGTGTGAAAAGCTTCAGACGAAAAGGAGTGATGATTTCTTTTGAAGCACATCTTCTCCGTGAACGTCAGGGAGTGGATCTGCTATCTCGAGTATGAGATTCTGTCCATAATCCCAGCAATTCCGGCGGATCGGTCGTATATTCCACATGTATGGCGTCTTTTTCTGGTTCGGGGACGCGGGGTGGGGGGCTGATCACCTATTCCGGATGTCTCTTTCGCAGTGCTCCAAAGCGAGCCTGCAAACCGAGGGACAATGCTTAGAACTACGTCCTTTCGAGCTCCGATCTCCCTTTTACATGTCATGTCATCCTTCAATCTATCCAAGTCAAAGTCGTGCACTTCCTTTGCAGCACGACCCAGAATTCCATCTCTTCCAAGCCTCGTTTCTAGCCCCGCATCTTTTCATCATCGGATACTTTAGAGTCCCAATATCCGCAACTTTTCACAACGGCACCTCCCAGCATACCATTCTCCCTACACAATCCACATCGCACTGACTGCCGCCCAAGCTTCAGTTTGGGGACACTCCGCAACAGAACTTCCCTCGTTCCTACGAACAATCTGTTAACGCTCGCGTAGCAGTAATTTCTCCGATAGCAGCTAATTCACTTCTTTTCATACCCTTGTCCACATCATCCTACTACCTCTCCCCCGCACCATCTCCGACATCCAAGACCAACATGACTTCAAAATCACATCATGCGTCAATCGCCAAAAAAGACCAATCCCGAAGCAACCGGCAGGGTTTCAGACAGACATGGAAGTGGCTTGCCAGAAAGGTCAAACTCACTCACAACGTCAGCAGCGGCTGCACCCTCAACCCAACCCACATCAACACAAAGCGATCGAAACAGTACCCGAACGGCGGGCAACGGACCACTCGGGGATGCCTCAGATCACGGACCGCTTCCCCGTCTCCAGCTCTGCAGTACCGCGCCGCGGAGGTCTTGTCCCGGTACGATGGATGGATGGATGGAACCTCGCGACCTCCACCTAAACCCCCCATCTCTCGCATGCCTTGAGTGCTGGCGCAAAGCTTGACTGACCGACCGACCGACCGACTGATCGATATCCACCCACCAACCGCAATGCAAACACGTCCACCATGCACACAGGCGACCCAACTGACCCCCTATTCCCCGACCAGGCCCCCTCGGCGAGTCGGGTGCGGAATCGTCTCGGTTCCTGGCCGGCTTCCTTTCCCATCGTAGTGAATCAACGGCGGGCTCTCTCCGGCTGATCTGTATCGGCTCGTGATCTCTACATCGTCCTCGATCACGCAAGCCCCCGCGGCTTCGTACTCGGAAAAGATGTAAGAGATATGCCTAGCATCTCACTGTGCCCACCGCGATCGTCTAGGCGGAGATCGTGTGACGAGGCCAGCGCCTCTCTAGAGAGTAGGGTGGGAGAGAGGTATCTACCTTTTTTTTCTAAGCTCGGGTGTACGAGGCGTGTGTCCGAGTGTGAAAATTTCGCATTCGTGACGCGTGTCAAAGCAACGAAGCGTGATCGATGCTCGCCTGTCGGCTCTGGGGAGAAAAGGAAAGGGAAGAAGAAAGCAAAAAAAAAGCCGCAACGGCGCACGCGATCGTTTTACCCGCCCGGTATTTGCCCCTCGACCCCTCGATTTTCGACCGGGACTCTGTAATGGTATGAACAGAAGGGAAGGGCAGCGAGCATGATTCTACTCGTCATCTTACTTCTCGTACCCACCCACCTCTCCTTCGCCTTCCTCCCCCCTTCCAACTCCTCCCTCCCCCTCCTCCGCTTACCATCCCCACCCCCACCCCCGTCCCCCCCTCCCCCCACAACCTTTACAGCACTCGGCCCCCCCACTACCCCCCTACACGGCAAACCCTGGCCCTCCCCCCCCTACCGGCGCCCCATCAAGGACGGCCTCGCCATCACCATCACCGCATACGGCGACTCCCTCGCCGCCAAGTACACCGCCTACATCCTGAAGGCCCTGCTCGCGATCCAGCGCGTCATCCGGAACGCCGGCGGGCCCCACGACGTGCTCGAGGAGACGACGACGGTGGGGAAGTTCGCGGGCGCCGTCTACGCCGAGGTCGGCTTCTACGCCCTGCACGCGCCGGCCGGGATCGAGCGGGTGCAGGCGGCGGAGGTGCTGCAGAAGGTGTGGGAGCTCGTCTTTGAGTATTCCCCGGCGAAGGAGATCACGTCGTCGACGGTTGTGGCGGAGGGGAGGGAGTTGGTGCTGTTTAGGTTGAGCTTTCGTCAGATATGAGGAGGTGTGTGTGTGTGCTGAATGGAGGATGATGAGTTTGATGACCGGTTTCGAATCTGAGGCTGTGCGGGATTTGTTGGGTGACGAGGTACTAAGAGACAGGGCACGCGGTCTGAAGAGTAGGTAGAACATTCCATCACAGACGTTGACGAGGAGAGCAATTTGTCGAAAGAACCCTCAAAGCCTCCCGAGAGTGGGACTGCTGTATCTCTCGGAAACCGCAGATGATGTACCAAAGAAGAACATGCAAATTCGTACAGACACAATTTTCGCAGTGGTTCGGGTCGATACACGGCTCCGTTGGGTACTTGCTACAATCGAATCATAAAAATGTTGGATCTCAAGTCATTCTCGCTGAAGAGGGAAATGATAGCGCCGACCCCAACCAAGTCTCGGACGACATCGTGCGTCATCATCTTCACGATAAGTGGACGAGAATACAATTCACTATTCTCGCTACCTGATGTGCGAGTCGTTGATCTGCGGAAAAGCTCCGAATGCTGTATATATTCTTTTCTGTGCCACGAGGCCCTTTTGGAAATTGCGAGAACGTCGAGCAAGTCGAGACTGAGTGATGAGTTCTCCAATACTTGCCACTCTACAGATGCCAGGCGAGAGAACGTCCTGCGAGATGAACCTCAATGACGATGGGGATATGAAAAAGACATTAAGAGCCCTGATGCTTCAAGGATATATCATCCTGAAAGACGCGACCACGGTCGAGGAATGCTGGGATGGCGCAGTGCAAGATCTGTCGAACCATCGGGTAAGGTCCAAATACACGGAATGAGCAGTCTCGCCTAAATGACGGTAAAATTAGCTTGTTCAGGAAATCATGACCGCTAACAACGAAGATGGGTTCGTTGTCCTTCACCACGAATGCTATTATATGGAAGCAGGGCAGCAGCCAATTCAGCACAACAATAGCGCCGCGCGAAGAGCCGAGCCTATGTTCCTCGCCTTCCATTTGGGAGGTCAAAAGGGTGTTACGAAATGGGTCATCACTTGCGACGAGGGCGAGAACGGTGAGATGACGGAGATCTACGTTCCAGTGGAGGCTGTGGCTGGCGACATTTTTCTCTGTAATGCTCGGCATGATCGGTCGGACCCAGCCCCTTGTATACCAAAGGATGCTTTGTGCAACTTGATAAGGATCCAGTATAAAGCGAAACCTTTCCCCTGAGAGGTAGGAATCAAGCGCCAAGCTTGGATATTTCTAGGTGGAAGATCAAAGTGACTCTGAAATTCGGCTCTCTTCATACTCTGAACGTTACCAAGATCACATCTTCCTATGTCCAACGTATTGATGATATTGCTAGCACGGTATGCCCCAATACCGTGAGGCTAGACCTATTGCTGCTCTCAAAAGCGTCAACGCAGTATGTGCACCAAGAAGTACCTGCAATGCATATCATATTTTCATGATGGGAGATAGGGTTCAAAGTATTTCTTGAGTCAGGGGAGATGAGGTCGAAAGCTTCATGACTTAGATCGAGAAGGCTTCTTTGGCAAGCAGGATCCTTGAGTCGCAATATTTCGACGAAATGAACCAGGGAAGAGTGAAACACATAAACCGAAACGCGATTCGTGGGCGAGGATCGCTTGAGCCTTTCTGAACAAGCTTAGCAAAGGTTAACGCTGTCCCATTGCCCACCTCTGTCCCCACCCCTCGCTCCTCCCACCCAAAACGGCGTACCATTTATGCATGAACGGCCAAAGCATGATCCAGGCGACAGGACTGACTAGGGTTGCGAACATAATGTTCCATTGAAGAGCTCAGACATGCTCCGGAGCATCTATGAAGAATACGCGTTCCAAGGGAACGTGACTGCCTCGTCGAACTGCAGCTCTCCACAAGTTTTCTTCCTCCTTCAAAGCGCCTATGATTTCGATTCGCTGAGGATACTCTGCATAAGTCTGGTCGAAATCCAGGTTCTCTAGCAGTCCTTGCCCAAGCCTGCAACATCCTGAGAGGCACCGGCAATTGCTCAGATCAAGGCGGAGTAGGTCGAGATCAAGCACAATAAAAGCGTCGATCTTGTCCGTCCAAACATATAAGAGGTCTAGAAAGCTCTCACGATGCAGAAGCTCCGCTTTCTCACTCCTGGAAAGGCGCTCGAAGTCGTCCCCGACGACATCGAGCCTGTTCTCAGCTTTCATCCGTTGGACCATAGCGGACGTGTTCTCCGCAACATCACGCATATCGAAGGCGCAATCGAGCTTCTTGACTGGGGGTATGGTTCTCATCGTCCGGTACGCCCAGTCATAGAATTGTCCCATCTTGCATAAGGGTAGGTAAAAAATGTTCTTTCCCGAGCAGAGTACGGCTTCGGCTTCGTCTTGCATTCTGTGACTGACTTGAAGGAGTCCCATGCCGGCGGCTCGTGGGTCCATTCCGGAAACCGCGCCTCCACGCGGGGACTCCATCGCGGATACTCTTTATCCACGCAAAGGCTCAAAGCTACATGCCCCGGTGCTAAAGCCAAGTCCAGGATTTGACAGCGGATTTCCGTGGGCAGATCGAAGTAGCGGAAAGGTCCTCTTCGCTCAAAATCGGAAGCGAGAGGATGGAATTTCCAGTCGGAGGAGTTCTGATCGGCCATTGTTTGCTTTGCAGGACCGGATGGTTGTTAGGTCTAAGCTCGTGAGGACGTCGCTTGAGCAATGTACAGTGACTGAACGAGAATTTGAGGTTCGAGCCTGGGACTACGCGGCTTGGAGACTCGAAGATCATGTCATTGCCATAATCCTCTATGTTCTTGTTAGACTTTTACTGGCTACGAGCCGGATTTGTATGAGGTCCATGGTTGTTGTTGAAAGTGAGAGGGATCCATGTCGCGTCCGAAGAATTTGTACGTCGCTTAGCGCGGTTTGTATAAATTTCACAAAGTAATGCAACAGTCATACACAAGTCTCAACTCTCTAGAGCGTCTTGAACGGAGACTGTGGTTGAAAACATAATTCGATGATGCGTCTGCTTAGTTTGCGAGACGATCTGCTAATGTACCCTGCCGCTCTAACGGTGCTATATAGCAAGAAGTCTTGAAGCCTTGAATCCCTCCAGCCTCGTACAGATTCCTGTGCAGCCACAATCCAACATAATATCCAGGTCTGTCTCGCCCGGGAGTCTCTCTAAAGTGGACCATCTCCTCCTCTAATTGACAACATCATTTCATTGAGCTCCTAGAGTCCTCCGAAACCATGGGCCCGCGTATCGCCACTGAGATGGCTTCGGCGCCGGCCACATCAGGCCGTTGGCCGCGGAAGCGGTCCAGCATCGGTCACTGGTTTCCACGCTTGAATCCTCGATGGCGATAGACCGAACTGGAATACCTCCGCCTTCAAGATGAAAGATAGCCGGTCAAGTCTTCCGGCCCCTCTTGGGCATGATGGATCGCGGCCTCGTCAACATATTGGTGGTGTCGATATCTTTTTCATATATACGATTCTTCCAGTTTGCCATCCTTTTTCTTCTGCCCAGGCATCGGGCTCCAACTCCCCATGCACCCTGGCATATCCGGCTCATTACTGCAATTGAACAGCGTCGGCCATAACCTCTCCACAGTGTGTCCAAAAAGCGGATTGTCAGGCAGGCTCTCCCCGAGCATCTGTTTTAACCCTGCCGGCTCCTGCTCTTGGTGTATCCAATGACCCTCCGGCGCATCCAACAGACTGCCTATGTATTCATATATCCACCTTGGCCTCGTAATTACTTTTTCTTTCGCCACAATGAATTGCCCGAGCCAGGAGATTGACTGTCGCTCGGTGGAGTCGCAGACTTTGTTGTCGAAGAGGGTTTGGAGTTGAGGGAGGAGGGGAAAGTGGCCGGTTGGGCAGTTACCGCAGACGCAAAAGATGGGTTTGCCACCGTGTTGGAGGTTGAAGAATTTGGTTTCGTTGGTGAACTTGTAGCGGAGAGATTTGTCGAGCCAGTCGGTGAAAGGGCGGGAGGTGTCACCAGTGTCGTTGAGACCGGTGATTGCGGCTTGGCTGAACATGGTGTAGGGGTATATATGGTCGTAGGTCTTGTTGATGTGGTGCATGTATGTTCCTTGCTCTCTGCCGACATTTGGGAGGCGAATGACTTCTGCAGCATCCAAGAGTTTTTTGACCTGATCGAGGTTGGTGTGCTTGTTCTTTGTGTATACCGTGACGGTTGAACCGAGCTCTTTTACGAATGGCATCTCGCGCACTGCAGTGACCCAATCTTTCACTTTGGACAAGTTTTCATTATAGTGAGAGATGACCAGCTGAAACTGTGGCTGTTTTTGATGCTTCTGAGAAGGCATGATCCATACGTGGATAAAAACGATGCAAGACAGAATGGCGAGGCCCATGCGGGCGACAGGGGAACTAAGCCAAGGTATCATGACGGTGGCGGATGACTTATATGTAGAAAGCGAAAAGACTGAATATATACGCGCAAAGCCATGAAGAGACAATGCGATTGATAAGAAGAACAGAGGAGGGGAAGAAGAATAATAATCAACATTCAAAAGTGAAAGGTGAAATGAAAGGAGTGATGATTATTGATTACGACACCTCCGCCTCCAACATTATTCTGCAGCCGAGGAACCCCTGTTGACTCCTGATTCCTGAAACGAGGGAAGTATTCCTACCAATCAAGATTACCGTTCCGACTTGCGGAGCCGCCAACCCTTCCCCTATTCTTGAGCCTAACAGGCCTGCTTCGTCTAAAGTCCCCGAGAAGCGCAGCCCACAGCCCAGGATTTTCGTGATACACAGCAGTATTTTCCTCATGGAAGTAAAAAAACAAATTCACGTAGACACACAGTATCACTGCGATACGAAGTGCAAGCAGAGTGTAGTACGTACCAAGGGTTGCCTGTCATTTCCAAGGTTCCAACACGGGAGCAAGATTCGGCTTCGACAGTGCCGCAAAGTTATCTCGGGAGACGCAATGCTGCGTCGATAAAGGTCAGGAATTATCATCTCATTGGGCGATTCATATCACCTTGAGATCTAGCCTTCATGAGCCAAAAAGAATCCGAATGAAAGCGAATGCGAATGCGACGGCGACAACGAAGGAGTCCGAATGAAAGCGATTGCGACATTGCTTATCGAAGACCGATGGCTGCACTCTGAGAAGCCCCGGTGGTGCTGGGGGCGTTGTGCGGGGGCAACTGGTAGCGATGAAGCTGACTCTCGCTGCCAGCCTGCGCTTCTGTCCTTCTTTCATCTCTATCTGCGAGATAGCTGCCGAAAGTTATCACGTTTAAGCTTGATTGGCTTGATGAAGGTGTGATGATGAAGTGAGGTTGTCTTACCTACATGGAAGAAGTAGGAATGCTGCAGGCGCCCCGAACCCGTTGCATGCAGGGCCGCTGTCAAGATTCCTCCGGCATCAAATCTTTCTGACAGGACGGGCAGGTCCATCATTGAGGTTTGAACGACGGATTTTAATCCTCCTCGAACAAATCTGTGTGATCTCTCTTTGCGTTGGCTTTGTCATTGCTATCGTCACCGCACAAGCCTCAGAGCAGAACGCAGACGATTCGGCAGGCCGCAACCTATTTCATTCAGCCAGCTGCAGCGCTTTATCTGTTCGACTAGAAAATAGGTCCATCAAACGTTGTAGCTGGCTGGTGCTGATATTGGCATTGCTGTTCTCTACGTTTAAGTGACCCCATCCTCATTTATTTACCCACATCTTCGTAAAATAAAGCTTTCGTGCTTCCCACTCAAGGCCAGCTAACCTTTCAATTCCTTGGAGCAGTCTCACTTGCTGGAAGTAGTATCGTACATGCAAGACTACTATCTGCAAAGAAGGCCGCCTTAATGTATCCTATTCTTTTTGAAGGCGCAGGCTACAACCTGGATCGCTACTTGAGCTACCATGAAATTTACGACCCCTCATTCGACGACCTGGTCGATTTACATCACACCTCCCACGAGGGGCAATAGAGCCTCGCCCAAGACGTCGGCACCGGCCCTGCAATGGTCGCTGAAACCCTCACGAAGCGCCTCGACAGGGTCATACATAGCCAGCGACTTGAATCCCCAGCAAATATTCATCGCTCGCACACGACTCCATTCTTCGCCAATCTTCAGCATTGACGTCTTACAACGCCGAGTAGGGGATATAGCCGAGCAAAATAGCAGAGTCGATATGGCTACCGCCGCAGAATTCAAAACTTCTTATCCGTCCGAAAGAAAGCGGCAATTATCGGGAAAGGCGATTCTTCGCCCATTGGAGAAGACCAGGCCATACTGAGCAGTTTCACCTTCCTCGAATGATCCAGAGTATTAGAGTATTGTTGGTAAGAGAACGACGACGATTGGCGATGCAGTAGTTACACTGATTGTGAAGACACTATCGTCAGTTGCGAGACTTGCGAAGAACTATTTACCCCGAACAGACCTCATGCCCAAACCTCTCTTGATGGTATCGAGATATTCACAAATTCGAGTGGCTCACACCATTAATCGAGGAAGTTAGAGACGCGCTAACATTTGATCAATGAAGCAACTAGGAAGGTAGGTGGGATCTATCTGTATGCAAACCAGCAAGGATGTGACGGAGACAGACTCTACTATGATGGCAGTGCCATGATCTTCCAGACTGGCTCATTACTAGCTCAAAGGTCGCAATTCAGCCTCAGCGACGTCGAAGTGATCACAGCGACCTGCGACATTGAAGGCACCAAAGGGGTCAAGTTTTCCGTTCCTCATTTCAACAAGTGACGCGCGCCATGCAATAAACTCGCATAGAAGTGGACTTTTCCTTTATTGTATGTACCCCGTATCATTGCTCGGTAAGGAAATCTATCCGTCCAAACCGCAAGATCCGTTCTCTCATACGCCCGAGCGAAATCGCATTAGGCCCTGCATGTTGGCCTTGGGATTCTCTGAGGCGTAGTCGACAGGCTAACTTCTTCCTTCCACTCTCCAGCAGCATGGCATCGACTCGGCAAACTCCGCCATGATTGTCTTCCCCATGTGCAGACTTGTAATCCAAGCCATCAAGGCCGAAACCCCAGCAAGTGATCGCGGATACACACACAATCTGCGCGGATAACGACGGGCTGCCTTCCACGCCCGGCGGAGCTGCGCGGAAGATTGTTCCACACGTGTTGTATGGGGACCGAGAAGCACGGCTCGAAGGAGCCACGCCAAAGGGCGCGAAGTTTTTTCCCAAAAGCGCTCAACCCCATCGTGCAGGTTTCAACATCGACACCATCGTCACCGCGGTGGACGAGCTCTACGCCACGCGTCCGAAGTCCGGCGGGGACCGTCGCGGGAGGGCCCGCGTCTACAGAACATACGGAAGGCGTCTCCGGATCGTTTCGTCACATTTCTCCGCGCGGATGCTTCCCAGGGTGGGAGGAAGGCGGAAGGGGTGGCTCCGGGCTTGTGATCGGAAGCGCCACCGTTGACGAGCAGTCACGGGGGCACTGCGAGGAGTACGATCGTTCCGGCGCAGATCGGGATCGCGTAGGTGGGGTGAGCGAAACCGATCTATTTCGAACTTGTACAGCCCTGACGATGGTTGGTTCGACGAGCGCCCGTTCTTGTATGCTGATCTCGGCTGGCCGTACAAGGGAATTGGAGAAGCGCTGAAGAATATGCGAGGGGGTAGGGG